AGGTGTTTAGGGCATATAGGGCTAGACCTTTATTTTTATAGACCAATCGGTACAAGATGGGTGATGTGGTCAGCATCACGCCAGCCGCCTTTACTTCCCGGGACTGCACCAAGTACCCACTCAAGGCTGGGTCTACCTGGGAGCCAAGGTCATTTTTGAAAATTAGTCCAGCGAACCCACGACCTTCCGATGCGCGGCGAGTGTCTAGCCGCGCCGCCACAGTGACAGCCATTTATAGCAGCTACAAAACAATGGAAAAAATAGGGATTAAACACAGTGAGCTTAGCTTTTGCAAAATGTGAAAAAATGTAAAACAAATATAAGAATCAACACAGAAAAAAGCAAAGTAAGGGCCAGAAAGTAGCAAAACTTAAAACATAGCAGCAGACTGAAAAGAATATTAAATAGACATGAAAGTTTAAATATATGGGCACAAATTCACCGAAGATGACAAATTGGATGAAGAAATTAACACCTGATGCAGTAAAGTAAACCACATAAGACAGTCCCAATCAGCACTAGGAAACATCTCATTCAAAGTTTATTTATTCCAACCCAATGCTACCAAGGCCAAGCATGGTCGCTTACACACACACACACAAAAAGAACAAAAACAACAACAAAATGTACTTATCATGAAAATCAGATGTCTGAAAAAGAGTGCAGGAGTGACCAGAAGAGACAAAATCATGAATGAAGTAAGAAGGAAAAAAGCACAGGACCAATACAAATTACATACAGAGACAACAAATCAAATGATCTGCAGTTACAATGCCATACCATACTAAACATACAAGATGGAAAGAACATGTAAAAGAAAATGTAAGCAGAACCATATACTGCTCTCAACACCAGAAAGAATAAAGAGGGTATGAAGAAGAGGAAGAAGCAGCTTTGCTACCTCAAATAACAAGCACAAGCAGAAGAAGTTCAATGATTCTGTCAAGAATATCAGTCCAGATACAGACATTTCTAGCAGCTACAAAACAATGGCAAAGATAAGGATTAAACCTAGTAAGCTTAGCTTTTTTCTGTACTGAGTGAGGCACTGTGCATTTTTTGTTGCTCTTTACATGAGAAGGTCTCCGTGGTGAAGCAATCAAGCTGTCTGCCTCGCTCCCAGAGGATCATAGGTGCATTTCATGGACATGTTGTTCAGTTGGTAAGTGCAGTTTACATGAAACTTACTGTGAATGGTAGTTGGAGCTTTCGGGTTTTTGCATTGTGCAACACTCTTGGCAGGCAGCTAGGCGTTATGACAAGACAGAATGATCAAAGGGCTTAACCTACGGCAATGAAGTTGCTCCTCTTAAATTTGAATATCTCTTATCTTTTTAGTCCTTATGAATCACCCTATGTCTTCTTCATGCTGCTCTAAACACACAAGGCATTCACAAATGATCTCCACTACTGCTTTCCTGCCCATGGTTTCCTATGTCATTTTACATTCCTTCATTTCCCTTCCTACTGTCCTTCTCTAGGTTTCCTAAGTTTGCCCACATATCCTTTCTCCATAGACTATCCACCAGACAGCTTTCGTTGCCAAAATGTCCCGAGGCATTCAGTAAACTTGTCAAAGCCAGCTCCAACTTCATTCTTTGATAAAGTTTGCAAATGCACAGCTGTGCTAGAAAGAACAAAAGTTAATGCTTTCACAATCAAGAATCGAACCCCAGACTACCTTATTAATAAGCCAGTGCACTAACAATTAGACCAAAACAGATCCTCCTTCAATGGAAAAAGCATATTAGTGAAAAAGATGATGTGCAACTAGCAGTTGTGTTGTTTTAAACTGCACCAGCTAAGCAGAAAAACACATACGGTTCTCAGTGTAAACGTCATTTTGGAATGTACAATAAATTACCTATGGATCAGGTGTGCGAAGAAGAACATATGGATTATATTTATGTTAATAATTTACACAAAAATAACTGTCTATACAAAACACAATGTATCTCTGTAAATGGTCTAAGACTGACAAACAATTTATTTCACTATCACACTTAAAATTGCTTTGTTTCACTTTAGAGAGTGGTGTCCTTTCATTACTTCACAATAAACTACAAAAACAATTTCATAATCTATTTCATTAAGTTATGTGATAACTTTCTACATATGTAAAGTCATCTGATAACCTACTGTAACGAAAGCCAAGCCATTTTATTATTTACTACATAAATCAAGTTGTTTCCAAATATACTACACAAGTCATTTCCCAGTTTGCTACAAAAGCCATTTCCCTATCTAATCTATTACAAAAGTCAAGTCACTTCTCAATCTACTTCATAGCTAGAATGACCAGGCTGAGTAAAAAATGAGGCCTGGAGACTCATATTCACCTGCACAAAAGACACCTCTTGCAAGGTCATGAGTTATGTCCTAGGTTTGCCGACAATGAACAGATACAAAGTCGCACTGGTCAAGGCATACATGAGGGTATCGGCAGACATTAACCATCCTTGGCACAAAGCTATACGCGACACAAAAGGAATAAGCCGCTCCTGGATGGCCAAGGCTGAAAACTTAATCCAGCAGGTATGTGACCTAGACAAGATCAGTCACGGAAAAGAATGCACAAATGCACCAGTAGACACCCATGGCATCTCTAAGGTTGTCATCACCCTGGGAAGGTACTGCATGGATCAGATTCCTACTGTTGTAGACACAGAGGTAAGGGCACTCATAGATCAGCATTTGCACCTAGAAGACATCCTCATCATCTACACAGATGGATCAGTGAAGCGCGGATCAAGGTCAGCATGGGCATACACAGCACAAAGAATGGGGAAACAATTCAAGACGACAGCTGCGCTTACCAGGCAACCATGTCAAGTATGACCATGGAGATATTCGCTGCTTCTAGAGCACTATCATGGGCATCAGAGCAAACAGCAGCAACTATATCAGGCTACATGAACTTACTTCAGAAGATAACAGGCGGTATACGCTCTGAATGTGCTGAACGCATTTGAAAATCGCACTTAACCTCCCTTACCTGGATCTACACACACAGTCATGCGGGCGTAAATGGTAATGAGCGAGTGGACCAACTCGCAAGCAATGCACCAATGCATGTGGGAAAAAGCACGGACAGAGCAAATGTTGTGTGGACTGGGCTTGTTGATAACAATAAATCTCTGATACTAACTTGACTGCGTGACATGGGAATAAAGCATGGGGAAGCACATCGATGCCGCATTTAAGGCCAAGATAGGAGTCATCACAACCAGCTTCTCATGGGAACAATTAGCAAAAGTACCTTTGGAGGGGTTGCTGCATTGGAGGACTAAGCACTCATGGGAGTGCCCAATGTGCATCATAAGTCAAGTCATTTCCTAACCTTATCTACTACGTAAGTCCGGAAATTTTATAATCGAATATATTACATTAAGTCGTTTCCAAATCAAAATCTATTACATAAGTCAAGTAATTTTCCAATTTGCTACGACAGTCAAGGCATTTCCTTATCTAATCTGGTACATAAGTCATTTCCCAATATAATCTGCTATATAAGTCAAGTCATTTGATATCAAGTTATTTCATAATCTGCTACATAAGTCATTTCCCAATCAACTACTTAAGTCAAGTCCTTTCACAATCTATTAAGAAGACGTTTTATATACTACATTATATAAAACAAGTTATTTATTTCACAATTCATTAGAGAGCCAATTAGTTTCACAGCCTTTACCAGTCTTTCGCGTTTGCCGGTCTGAGGAACAAATATAAGGGCACATAATTTCATTTACAAAAACAAAAGTTTTTTTTTTCCCCTCACTTGGGGCTTTCTTCCCCTCCACTCCTTTGTCAGTCAGGAACTGTCCACATCAGTTTACAAGGAACCCATTTAATCTACCTCATAAGACAAACAGTTTACAATTTATCACAATATATGTTTAGTATCAAACGGTCAATTCTTCTTAAACAAACAAACAAAATCTCTCTCTCTCTCTCTCTCTCTCTCTCTCTCTCTCTCTCTCTCTCATCAATCAAGCAAGTTGCCTCCCTATTATTATTTATTTTTTTTAAATTGCATTTCACATACTAATAGGTTGCTTATTCAGTAATCTGACGATCAAAATACTTCCACAAGCAATTGTTCACACTGGATTAGCAAATTGTTACAACTGATTACAAACACCAAAACTTGTGACCTCTCTCTCTCAACAATATTCATTTTAGGGTTTTTTTTTTTGGACAAATACCATTTCCTTAGTCCATTTGTTTCCCATTTTAGTGCCTGTTAAGTGATTCTCTGTTTGCTGTTATTGTAGGCAATTATGTATTCCATAATATGCCACAGCTTTCTGGGCAGTTTGAGACTCTCTCTCACATGAGCACACGCACACACACAAAGTTAGTTGTGTGTTCTTTAAAGGATTTTGCAGAACCAGCCACAGCATTTTTTTTGGGCAGTCTGTGATTTCATTAGAAAATTTTATATTCAGCAGTTTGCTGCTGCTTTCTAAACAGTGTCAGCTTTTGAGATGCTGCTGTTGAAACAAATGCAAGGCAGTGTGCCGCCAAATCACTCGAAGCTGGGATCGAACCTAGCATCACGGAATCATGAAGCATCTTCCCAACGTTTAAGCCACGGATGCCGATTTGAGACTTATGCCGCTGCCAAAAATCACCACAATACTACACACATTCATTACCCCACACTTACATCTTCTAATTCACTTGCAGAACTTATTGCTGCAAAAGATAACAAATAGGAAAATAAATTGCAAAATGGATGAACTATTTACAAACTGATAATACAAATGGCTACTCAGCTACAACTCTAAACAATAAACCATCTGCAAATAACAGTGAGGGAAAAAAATCACATATAGCTGCAACGGCCTTTTACAAATAATGCTTCCATATTTTTTTTTAAAAGTTTTTTAACCCAATATATGTGTATAATAAAGAATGTCATCATATTTGTCTGGATAAATCTGGCATTACTACTGTCTGCTGCAGCTTTGTTTTCTGTGCTTATAATGTCAGTCAGGTCAAGCCAAAGTTCCCTCAAGTTTCTGCAGATGCAGCTGCATTCTCCTGTTTTCCTGAGACAATCTGGCAATTTCTTCACCTAATGTGTCCAGACTTTCCTGCAGTTTGAAAAAAAAAAACATATCTTGAACCAATATTCAAAGCTTTGTACTTTTAACTAAATATTATGATAAATCCAATAAGAATGTTTACTGTTTTAAACCTAAGAAGAATGTTTACTGTTTTAAACCTAAGAAGAATATTTATTTTTGTAAAGCTAAGAAGAATTTATCGTTGTAAACATAACGAGAATGTTTATTGTTGTAAACATAAGAAGAATGTTTACTATTGTAAACCTAAGAAGAGTGTTCACTATTGTAAATCAAAAAAAAATATTTATTATCATAACCGAATAGTGTTCATTTTAATAAACACCTATAACGACAGTTGACTGCCAAAAACCTCATAAGAATTTTTATAGCAGTACAGCAATAACGAATATTTTTTTCTGTGAAACGCAATTAAAATGTTTACTGTGCTAAACCTAAAAAGAATGTTACTTATTGTCTTAAACCTAATAATAATGTGTTCAGTGTATCCACCCAGTGAAAATGAATGCATTTTTTGTTTCAACCTAATAATTTTTACTGCTTTAAACCCAAAAAGAAAGTTTACTGTCATAAACCTTGTTAGAAAGTTTACTTTCTTGTGCCTAATAAAAATGTTTATTGCCTTGAACATAATAAAAAAATGTTTAATGTATCCACCCTAGTGAGAATGAATGCATGTTTTGTTTAACCTAATTTTTATTGCATAAATGCTAATGAACAAGTCTATTCTATTCATCCCAGTGAGAAAGATGCATGTCCTGTTCAATCTAAGAATATTTATAGAAATCAACTCAAAAGTGAAATGAAACATATTTTCAAATAATCTCACAACCATTTAGAGATATGATTACATGTTCACATCTGGACACAGTATTTTCATGTGTCATACGTTGGGGGTGGAGGGATGGGGAGTATGTGTGTTTTTGTGGTAAATTGGTCAAGCTGTTTATCTTGCACTATTCCTGGCGATCATTCCTGGAGCAAGTGGACAATGTATTGATCGGCACTCACAGAAAGAAGTAGAAAGACAGAAGGACATACTATACAACATGCAAATTGAAAGCTATAGTTACCGTGCCGGGAATAGAACCTGTTACCTCCAAATGACATGTGGAAACAAGCGTGCTGAAAACACAACCAAGTAGGAAGCCCAAAATAAGGTGTCTTTGTTGGCATGTCTCTCTGGTTGTGTTCTTAGGATGCTTGTTTCCATAGCGAGGCGCCATTTGAAGATGACAGGTTTGGTTCCCGGCATGGCAATTATAGCTTTAGATTTTTATGTTGTCTTGTGTGTCCTTCTGTCTTTCTACTTCTGTTTATGAGTGCTAATCAATACACTGTCTCTTTGTTAATTTTATATATATATATATTTCTACGGCTTCAAGGGTTCCCCCACTGTTAATTTATGTGAATGATTTGCAAGGGGATAGCCATTCTGAGGAAAGAGACTGAGCGGTATGGTATAACTCAAGGTAATGAAGCCGATCCTCTCAACTATAACTGTAAGTTTTACTTACCTCAGCTGTATAACCTCACATTAATTGTAGTGTTTTTGAGAAGTAGCAAGAATTACACAGGGTACTGCAGCTGTATACTCTCACATTAATTATCATGTTTTTGAGATGTTGCCTAGAGTTACATAGCCCACCTCAGCTCTACTCTTTCACATTCACTGTAATGTTCTTGAGAAGTAGCATAGATTACATAACTCAGCTGTACAATCTAACATTCATTGTAATGTTTCTGAGAAGTAGCAAAGATACAATAACTTATCCCAGCTGTACACTCTCACCTTGACTGTAATGTTCTCGAGAAGTAGCAGGGATTACATAATTCAGATCTGCTTTACACTCTCACATTCAATGTAATGTTCTCGAGAAGTAGCAGGGATTACATAATTCAGATCTGCTTTACACTCTCACATTCAATGTAATGTTCTTGAGAAGTAGCAAGGATTACATAATTCAGATCTGCTGTACTCTCTCACATTTAATGTAATGTTTTCGAGAAGTAGCAGGGATTACATAATTCAGATCTGCTTTACACTCTCACATTCAATGTAATGTTCTTGAGAAGTAGCAAGGATTACATAATTTAGATCTGCTTTACACTCTCACATTCAATGTAATGTTCTTGAGAAGTAGCAAGGATTACATAATTCAGATCTGCTTTACACTCTCACATTCAATGTAATGTTCTTGAGAAGTAGCAAGGATTACATAATTCAGATCTGCTTTACACCCTCACATTCAATGTAATGTTCTTGAGAAGTAGCAAGGATTACATAATTCAGATCTGCTGTACGCTCTCACATTCAATGTAATGTTTTTGAGAAGTAGCAGGGATTACATAATTCAGATCTGCTTTACACCCTCACATTCAATGTAATGTTCTTGAAAAGTAGCAAGGATTACATAATTTAGCTCTGATGTATACTCTAACCTTGACTGTAATGTTTCTGAGAAATAGCCAGGGTTGCATAATTCAGATCCGCTGTATATTCTCACATTCAGTGAGGCTAACCACATCTTCTACCCATCGGTGAGGATGTCCTTAGGGACTCTACCATCTTTCATGTATGCCCTAGGTATCTGAGCCCTGGGGAAAAAAACTGTTCTGATATTTGCTCTCCCCAATATTCTCAGCTGCAAGCGCTCTCACCTTCAATGTAATGTTCTTGAGAAGTGTGTCTTCCAACACAGCCTGCAGCTTCCGGCTAATCTGCAATGACAGCTCCAAGGTCATGGTGCCATCTTGCTGGTGTGCTGAGTACAAGGAAGCCATGATACCTCCCTTCCGTGAAAGAAGTGCCTAAAAAGGGGAGAAAATGCCAGAGTAAATAATAATGTATTATTTGTATATTTCACACCTACAGAAATGTACACATAGTTACTACGTCAAGTTATTAATTAAAATGAGAAGCAGAACTGGTAAGCTTCATAATATAACAGCATGATGATGGAGATAGCAGCTGTTATGCTGGGCGGCGGGGGGACTTGCATGGCTGGCGGAGTAGAAAGCAACTCAAGCATTAATAGCGACTGACTTAATGAGCACGCTTAAGAAGATCTAAACTGACAAACTTCGACTATAAGGGGTTGGAAGTATCCAGAAGTCCCATCTAAAGAAACTATCTTGGCTAACACACCCTGACATACCGGGGTAAAGGGGAATGAAAAAGCAGACATACGGACTATGAGATGAAGGAGTCAGAGACAATGAACCACCTGCTGTAAATGGGTATTAAAAGAGGATAAGTTTGAGGAAACTGGCTGCCAGGCAAAGAAAGAAGACATGCCAATCAACTCCTACAGGAAAGCTGAGCTTGGAGACATTCAGACAGCTGCTCCATCAAAGAATGCAGCACAAAAAGGTTACACTCATGTGCTAAGATGTGGATACGGACAATAGGTAACACGTAACAATCTTGATTAATAAATTAATGCTGTGGTTAGAAAGCCCTTATCAGAACATTACATAATCACATAACTACGAGCAGCAAGAGATAAACTGTCAACAATCATATATGGGTGAAATCAATCAATCTAAACTGCATATTGGAATGCTTAAATAACAGCAACAAAGTTTAAATGATACTGTGAACATCTTCCACTGAACCTTTCAATATAATTTATAACAGAATGAGTCACACATTGTGACAACTGTTGAATGTTGAATTAAGAATCAACATCACAGCACTCGGGACACCCCAATAAGTGCTCCGTCCCCATCTTCAGCAGTGAAAAGTTAAAACCCTGATGGTACCAGTAACTGACTGTATATCCATCTCGCCTTTTCCCTGAGTGTGACAACTACAAAGCAAGAGCTAACAAGACTTCAATCTTGGTATTTGGCCTGTATTCTGGAAAATGCTCAGTTCTTCATTAAAACTATTTTTACAGACTGTATTTCCACCTGTCTTAAATTGCTGACAGTTCCCATTCTGAGGCCACTGTCAACACATTTCTAGTGATGGTATCAAGTCCTCTTCTAGATCATTTATGGTTGCAGTTCAAAAAGCACAGTAATTCACAGGATTATATTTACTTGGTTATACATTTTAAATAAATAATTATACATCTGAATGTGTAATGACACAAACAAATTGGACATTTATCTGTGGTTTCTATACCATGTGGCTCATAAGTTTCCATACACAGGAAAATAAACATATCACCAATGCCATTACAATCATAACTGCAGATGTGCTTATGTGTGTTCTTCAGCACTGGAGGATGCAAAGATGTTTCCAAAACAATGGTATTTTTCATATCTATGGAAACCTATGAGACACCCTGCAAAAAAAACTTCAAACAATACATCTAAATGCATAAAGCATTCAACTATCATATCATTATATGTAGGTGTTCTCTCTGTAGTTGCAGGGTGTACAAATACTTTATTGACGAAAACCGTTTTTGTTTTATCTACAGCTTCTTCTTCTTCAGCATCCCGAGCACTTATGATTCATTGCTGCAGGTTTCACGGCTTCCATTCGTCTTTCTGGTTGTCCATCTCTTTCCCACTGGTGACACCAAGCGTTTGTAGGTCTGCTTTTTATACTTTAAAATAATCTTTACAATTTTCTACTCTTTTGTTTCATATTAGCTACAAATCTACATCCCTGCATCTAGGACACTCCCATAAGCACTCTGTTACCATTTTCAGGAGCAAGCAGAGTTGAAACTCCAATGGTACCAGTAGTAATTTGATTGTATGTCCATCTTGTCTTTGCTCTAAGTGTTTGGTGTTGGCCAGATTCCCTGGCCACTCCATGCTGCCCCATTCTCTTCAGACTGTAATGATCTGTTTGCACCTGGCCACATCTTGCTTCTCATGCATCAGTTCACCGCCAGCTGGTGCAGTACCAGCTGCCTTTTTATTTCCCAACATACCTGAAACCTCCGGAGAAAATATTCAAAGGATGCTAACTATCAAGGATCTCTGAAGTGAAGCTTCCTTCTCTGTATAGAGAATACCTGTCTCCACCTATCTTAGCAAGCTTTATGAGTCTGTTACAATCAGGACATATGAGTAAGATTTCTTATAGGCATTATCATCACTTGTGAGATATGAATCTTGAGGTTTGAGGTTTTGAACAATGGATCAACATCATGGCACATGGGTAGTAACCCATAAGTGCTCCATTCTTCTTCTAACTCAAGTCTGAGTCCGAAGAAGCTCAGGTCAGTGCACAGGCTCTATAGCACTGGCGAGGATCCTGAAATACTTTGGGTAGATTTTTAACTCCAAATTTTGCCCGGGCAGAGCAGTTAGGCTACTCTTTTTGATTTCCAACTGCCAAGGGATTTTTTACGTGCGCAACAATGCACACGGGCATCTGATCTCACTACCCAGAGACCAGGGGGAATTACTAAAAGTCCAAGTCCACGTGAAAAAAAACCAGCCCTTACCGAGGATTCACCCCGGAACCTCTAGCACTCGAGGCGGACACTGTGCCTCGAGACCACGCAGCTCCCAGATATGAATCTGTCACTGAATAATGATGACACTGTTTAATTAAACAAACAGGCTATCTATACCTTAATGACCGTCTACTATTATGTTTAGTAAACAGCAATTTACAATAAACAGCTCAACTCATAAAGATGCTCAAGTGAACAAAGATTAGGATGTCACTCAGTCTAGCTGATTATTAGCTGATTATTACCTGCATTTCCTTCTGCACTTTTGCCTAGGCAGCAATGAAAGCGGAAAGGAAAAATGCAAGCATTAGTTAATTACACACACACAACACTAGTTAGGGTAAATAATACAGGTTATGTAATGGTTGAGATCAATCCTGGCGAGGGATGGTTTGAGCTGAACATTAATGGTGCTGAAATTACCCTATCATAATCTTTAATAATAATGAATACATGAAATATCTTTTGGATTTTATATGGAAGATTTAAAAGTCGTTACCATATAAAGTAATGATTTAATTTTTTTTTTTTTTACTGAATTTGTGCATTTACATTTTGTATAGTAAATAAATTATGAAATCTCTATCAATCTATATTGTTTCTAATTATTTAAAAACAAAAAAAACTCATAGTTAATCTGATAGCAAAATTTTTTTAGTTGATGGGAAAGCCTATATCAATGACCAAGATGTAAAAGAAAGTCAAATGATTGGCTTAACTCTAAGGCATTGCTGGGTACAATTTAAACAACTTTACTCATTAAATTGTCAACGTCTGTGGCTTAGGCATTGCGAACGCACTTAGTAATGCCGGGGTTCCGGGTTCGATCCCAGCTGCAGGCCTTGTGCCTTGCGTTAGTTTTGACAGTGGCATCGAGAGCCGACCATCCAGAAAGCAATGGCAAACTACTGGACGTAAATTAGCCTAGAAAAACCAGAACAGCTGAAAAATGCTGGGGTTGGTTCTGCAATGTCCTGTAATAGGATACGCAACTAACTTTAACTTTAACTCATTCATTTACAAAGATTTTGAATGTCAAAATGATGTTTCTTCGGGTAGCTATGCTTTTCAAACAGATTTGTTTAGTAGTAGTAAATTTTTACATGGCTTTTATAATTATCTTTATACATTAGTCACCTATGTCTAATAGTTTACTATAACAGGGAAGAGCAATGACCAAAGGGGTAAAATACCAGCTGATATCCCAGTAAGGAAAGAGACATTTTCACCAACTGGACGTAAAATAGTAAAACATAAGCCTTAAACTGCATGGGGAGTCACCAAGGCGGAGCGGCTAGATGCTCGCCTGCGGATTTGAAGGTAATGGGTTTGTTCCCTGGCAGGGGCCAGACTTTTTCAAGAATGACCTCGGCTCCCAGGTCGACCCAGCCTTGAGTGGATACCGGGTGCAGTCCCAGGAAGTAAAGGCGGCTTGCCTGATGCTGACCACATCACCCATCTTGTGCCGATTGGTCTATAAAAATATAGGTCTAGCCCTATATAAGTGTAAAGGCGTTGAAAAGGGTCCTTGAGCTTCTAGGTCAAACCGATGTTTGTTTGGCTTTTTCCGGCGGCTTACAGATTGGCAACCAAGCAGCAACAGGGCACCAGCACAGCGACCAGCACGAGGCAAGCCAAGCGCCAGCAACAGTCAGCTAGTACCCGTCGATATCATCACAAAGAGATCTGGATCACACCAGAACCAAAAACCACAAGCAGCACAGCAAGGAAGCAAACAACCGTAATATCAGGTGTGACTACACACCACAAATAAAAGGAAACCATATAAGACAGCTAAGGAACCTTCTTCGATATAGCAGGCCTCCTGGCGGCTGAAAGAGGATCAAATTTGAAATTTTTGTTGGACGAATTAGAATTGGAATTGGAAGGGTCCTTTAATTGACTTTACCTAAACTGCATGACATCTGGTTGGATGAGTGAGCTTCATTACCTCAGCCCTTGATCAAAAACTTCACATCAAAATCTAGCGGCAGCACTCAGTCCGAGCAGTATCTTCTTCCTTCTACTTCTTACTGATCCCAGGTTGTAGTCTGGCAGAAAGTTCTAGTTGTGCATCCACTTCTTGTTCCAGAAATTGAGTTTTGCAGGCACATCTGTTTTACAGATCTGGCTTATTTAAATTCCTACATCGATGGTGCCTTGCCTCTCGGGCAGATACACTCCAACTTTGAAGGAAAATCCCCAATTAGTTGTCTCTTATGGCATGCTTGTGGGGGGGTGGGATGGGTGTGGAGGGTCTCTATTTACCCCCCCCCCCCCCTCCAATGGGGCCCTATAACCCAGGCAGGGATACTAGTAGTTTTTATATTGTATTAGGAGGAAGTTTGAAGTTTGAACAACAGATCAACATCATGGCACACGGGCAGTAACCCATAAGTGCTCCATTCTTCTTCTAACTCAAGTCTGAATCCTAGAAGCTCAGCACAGTGCACAGACTGTATTAGGAGGAGAAATAAGAAAATCTCTGTGGTTTCTTGGTTTGAAGAATTATCAGAGTGGGCAAAACCCCAGATGCTCAATCTCAGCAAATGTAAGGTGTCAACAATGCTCATCATTCCAGGATTGTTACTGCTAGCTGCACTTGCCAATATAATTACTGAGGATGAGAACTGTCCTTCTGTACCATCTAAATATGAGACACAACTTTTCATTAAGTTAAAGCCCCACTCCGGTTGTCTCGGGGGGCACTAATATAAAAAATGGTTGAACAGGATTTCTCGGACCTGCAACTGGGTTATTGTCATCCAAATGGTGGCACTTTGTGTCACCGGGTGTTTATCGCTTGTTGTGTGCAGTCCTGGTGGGGTTGAACTCCATCCATTCAACTGTCCCCTGCCTGGTCTGGTTTTCAGGTTACTTGGTAACCGTCAGGAGCTCCAGTATTACCTTAACCTTACACCTAACGAGGCTTCATGATATTTCTTCTTCTTTGCATTCACTGGCTGTAATCGCCACAGGAAAGTTCTACTTGTTTGTTCACTTCAGGAATTCAGTCTTTTTCAGAACTTGAGTGTTGCGTGCACATTCGCTTGACAGTTCTGACTTATGTCTATGCGGACTGTTTGCTCCTTGCCTCCCAGGCAGATGCACTCTGACTTTGAAGGAAACATCCCTAAACAGTTGCCTTGTACGACATGTTTCTCAGGGGACAGTGGGTCTATTCTTTTCCCTTAAAATGGGACCCCAGAACCCACACAGGAAAATGAAGTGTTGATTAGCGCATAAAAATATGTGATTACCACCATAAGCCCAATTCACCACTGGTAAGAAAACAAGACAAAATAATGCGAAAAAATAAAAACAGTCAAAGCCAAGGACCCTTTTCCTCCCCCGTAGCCATATTGGGTATATAGGGCTAGACCTGTACTTTACAGACCAATAAGCATTAAGTGGGTGATGCGGTCAGGACCACGCCGGTCATCATTAGTTCCTAGCCCTTCACCTGTTACCCATTTTGGGCTGGGTCGACCTGGAAGTCAAGGTCAAATGTTTTAAAAATCTGTCTCAGTGCAGATTTGAACCCATGACCTCCAGGCCAGCATCTGCCCGCTATACTATAGCGGATCCATGAAATGAACAAATAAAAGCAAAAAAAAAAAAAAAAAAGGTTAATCCATATAATCCTTTTAAAAAAAAAAATACTTTGATCCCAAAAGCAAGAACATTCTACCCGAAAATGAAACAACTACACTAGTTAAACAAACAGCCTCTTATTTCAAATAATAGTCACATAAAATATTTATACGAGAACGTATGCAGGCATCATGTTTTATAACAGCCAATGCCCCATAAGTGAATAGAGCAAAACTACCTTATAAGTCTGAAATACACTTTCCTGAAGAAAAATGATAATATATGGTGACAAAACAAGAGTTTGAGTATGCACATATAGAACAAAGATTGAAAGCTACATTTGCAGCAAATAAAGCAGGCTCTATTAGTTAACATTATAAATTGGCACTGAAACAATATGCTATAAAATGTGTCAAAACAACAAGAAAGTGTCAGAATCACTCTTGCAATTTACTCATTCAAAAAAAAAAATCAGCAATTACAACAAATCAAAATTCTGTTAAAGCTTATCTTGTACCTGGCCTATGATAATATGGGTCCTTCCTTATATGCCTGATTTGCCAATGGTGAGAAAAAGGACCTTAACTGTCTTTTAATTTTTAGGTGGTTTTGAAATCTTGTAGTTGATGAGTTAATAACCAAAACAAAGAAATATTCTAGATGTTGTAAATAATGTTTTGTTGCTGTTTGCGTTCACCGGCAGTAAACCCCAGAAAAAAAGACCTGGCTGTTCATCCATGTCTGGACTTTGGCTTTGATTCCAGGATTTGTTCCAGTTTTGGATGTGCATCCATTTTTTACAGATCTTGCTTATTTGTATGCAGACTGTTGGTTTCTTGCCTCTCAGGCAGAGGCACTCCGACTCTGAAGGAAGTCCCCAATTAGTCAACTCCTACGGCATGTTTGTATTCTTGTTTTCCCCACAATGGGACCCCAGAACCCACACGGGGATCAATAATAATGTAAAGCAGACAAAACATGCAAAGTAAAGGACCATTTTCACAAGTGAGGGCCCCTTGTGGGTTTTAGGACCCTGCCTCCCTTAGAAACATGTTGTAAGAGTCAACTAATTACGAGTTTTCTTTTAAGACTGAGTGCATCTGCCTGAAAGACAAAGAACCAACAGTCTGCATACAAATAAGCTAGATCTGTCAAACAGATGTGGACATAAAAACTCAAGTTCTGGAAAAAGATTCAAGACCAGAAGTGGTTGAACAACCAGAATTTTCCGCTATAGTGCCCAGTGTGTAGAAAATATAAGTGTAGAAATCCAGAAAATAAAAAAAGGCAAAAGGGGACCATGACAAGTTACTGTTGGAGGAAACATCAGTTGCCACTTTGTACTGACCAATGCTACAAACTGTACCATACCATTGCTGACAAATGTTTGGTTAGAATTGGATAAATGTGAGTGGTATACATGTTTATTTGTCTTCTTCTTTTTTTTTTTTTTTGCATTGATATTGAACTACACACCATTTTCTGAACTGATCAAACAACTCAGTCTTATGTTTTATATGTCATGAAATTTAGTCCATATATTGCTGTCAGATAAGAGACATTTCTCTTGCCTTTTTTTTTTTTTTTTACATCATATCTACAGCCGCATGATGATAATGTCAAAAAAAATTAATATATTTTTTCGTGATATTTGTTATCCACTCAATTTGAGGCAAAAATACAAAATATGATAAGTGTATGTTGAAGAGTTGTGAAGCTATGACATTATTGTTAGTCTTTACTGTTGTCAGATAAAAGATTTTTCAGTTGCCTATTTTGCACCAATCTACAGCCACAAGATGATGATGTCAACAAACTAAACCCATTTTGTTTTCTTGAAATGTGTTCGTTCAATTTTGTGCAAAAATATACAAAATACAACAAGTGTATGTTTAATAGTTGTGAATCTATGACATTTTTGTTAGTTTATATTGTTGTCAGATAACAAGATTTTTTTTAATGATGAGGATGTAAAACAAAATAAACACACTTTTTCTGAAAACCTGTTCTCCTTCAATTTGGTGCAAAAATATAAAATATGATAAGTGTATGTTCAATAACTGCGAAGCTATGGTATGTTTAATACACACAAAGATATCTGGTATCTGGGTAAGAGCAAAAGTTAATGGGCTTGGTAGACAGTGGGCCAATAGCTGGTCTAAGGGGGCTGCTCTGACAGCCAAAACACTACTTTCCTTATCGAGCAGCTTCTGCAGCCTGCTTTATTCGAATGTGTGGGTGCTAACCTTTCCTCTGGAGTAAATGAGACAGGCTGAGCGATGGTTCATGCCAAAACATTAGTGAATATTTTACTAGTAACTGACTCATAAAAATGGAACTGAACGCCCATATTTATATTAACTCTTCGAGCCCTGAAGAACGCGCCATACCTTCACAGGTTCTTAGCTAAAAGCCCAATTAACGCAAGATGCGCTAATTTAATGTCTCTCTTTTCTACCCCTTGGGCCTGTGAAGCTAAACCCACTGGGACTCAAAGAGTTATTGATCAACAGATGCTTATTATGCATTTGCACATTCAGCAGGTTATGACAGAATAACTAACCAGGCTGACAAAATATTTCGAGAAGAAACAGACAGAAAGATGCATGTTCACATTTTCACACTAACATATTGTTTGTTTAATAAGCAATTTTAGGGCAAAAATAAAGAAATCGTGTGATCTTAGAGTAGTTAGTTACATAAATAGCTGACATATATGATTATTATTTGTAAATACAGAGACAAATTAGTAAAGTGGTAAAAATTATCATAATAAAGATGTGTTACTAAAGAACAAATGATGTTTCCAAACCTTGTTAGCGTCCATGTCATCTGATGTTAATGTTCCCGACTCCTCTCTCAATGCATACATTTGGATGATTCTGTGGAATTTATTCAACAGGAATGCTAAAAGTGTCAGTAAAGATGGCTTTCTTATTCACATTTGTTTTTAAGTATCCAGAAAAAATGACAGTCGGACAGTTTCTTATCAGCTGTCCGTACTGGTGGCAGAGCACTTATGGTTTATAACCGTGTGCAAGATGCTGGTTCACTTCTCCAGACTTTACCTTTACCTTTTTATCATGTAGAAGGCTTTTTGCAGAATGTCGCTCTCATCACAGTCTGCCTGAGATTAATTCAGTCTCTCGCCAGCTTTCCCATTTCGTGTACTTTCATATTTAAGCAGTCATTTATATCCTGTGCCCATCTTAGTGTTGGACAGCCTTGCACCTCCTTTCTGGTACCATTCGTTCTGCAAAAAATTTTTTTTTCTAATCCGGCATGGCGCTTGATATGACCAAAATATTTCAGCCATAACCAGAACCAACGAAGGGAATAATTATGTAACTCTACATCTCTGGGTGAAACAGCACTAAAAATATCTACAATCCAGCATTTAAAAAAAAGTAACTAAGTAATACTCAATCCTGCATAAGAGACAACATGTAACTAAAGAAAATCATTCTATCTGTAAGATACATGAGAAAGACGGCGATCCTATAAAAATATTATCACAAGAAAAAACAAACTACTATTTGAACAAAGAAAGTACACACTTGTTCTTCTTCCTGATGTCCTCCAGAAGTTGTTGAACATGTTCACTGAGAAAATCCAGCTTTTCAGTTTTGCGAGCAAGTGATTTCTGCACACGGACAATCCTCTCTATCAAAACTTGCTTGTCGACCTCAATCTGTTCTGTGATGGCTGCAAACTCCTAGAAATTTTACAAATCAATATAATGTTGAACCTGCAGCAAAGAACCTGTTTCAGTGAGCAAAAAATCATAAAAGCATTCAGGATGATGATGCTCTTCTTCCACGCATACCCTTAAAAGTGTGGCTGACGATGAGTTTATAACCAGTGTGCTACGTAAATAGTTAGCATCTACACCTTAAGACATTTGCTGCGGGAGACAAAGCACCTATGTTGTTGCTGTTTGTCCATCACGAGTGATGAAGACCACTTTTTATCCAAAGTAGTGATAGCTGGATGAAAGTGACTTGTGCAAGGACTTGGATTTAACTGAGGAAGAGTTGCTCAATTTGTCGGCCTCACTCTCTCCCCGGTGTCCATCTTGATCCAATGGCAGGACAATGTCAAGATGATTGGGAATGGACCTAGGTGCAGTGGATAACCAAGGCATCTTAAGTGCTCTGTCTTGCTTGAAGCTCTCCACAGAGCCTGCTGGTAAATGCTAGGCCGGTGAACGAATAAGAGGTTTAATCCGCACATATCAGCCAAGTCCAGTTTTTGCATGCAGATCACCAGGAGGAAAATGGTCTTCCTGATATCTGAAATTACTGTTCTGGTAGAGTATGCAAACACCAAAGTGTTACTGGGGTTCAAAGGGAAGAAAATGCAATAAAACCTCTTTAACACAAACTCACTGAAGATGAACAATGAGTTCATTTTAAATTATTATTAGTCCCCGGTTCACACATATTCTATAACAGGAAGTCTCGAAATACAGTTCCATTGCAGCCTACCATGCATTTTTAAAGAAGCAAAGAGGTGAAGCAACTAAGCAGGGCTGACATCACGCTATCAGTCAGGGTTTCATCTTTGTCAGAAATGAGTCATCTCATAACTGCTCCATTCCAGTGCCAGTGAAAACCACACCCAAACAAATGCCAATCATTGTCCCATGTAAAAAGCCAAAAAGAAGCAGTCCCAGCAAAATCTAAAGCTTCTTACGAACACTAAAAAAAAAATACATCAGATAGCCACCATAGGTGCCAACACCGACATAGCCAATGGAAGCAGCAGTCATGACAAACCAGCAGGTGCACATGCATTACTGCATAAGGCACACTACAAAGTTTGTGTGACAATCGACCACTTACCATTTTCTGAAAGTGCAGTTTACAACACATATCTCCTGGAGTAAAAACATTCCCAGTGAAATTCATAGCTCACAGTGCCGCACCATGCACTCAACTCAGTAGCTGTGCAAAGGAACTGGATTTCTCCTTTACCTCTTTTACTGGATCCAAAGTTTGGTAAAAGATACCCAACATTCAGTGTTGACAAAGTACATGTAAAACTGACTACTTACTAACTGGCGCATAAACAGAACAGCAAATTGGTAGCAAATGGCCAAAATGTAATATGTAATAGTGCTTGCTTAGTGACACGGGTGTGAGACCAAAAACTTATCAATCCAATTTGATTACCTACAATAAGTAATGTGATTCTGATGTGATAACCAAACAATTACTAACTCAGTCAGAGCTTACCTGCACTGGAGCATGGTTGAGTGATTGTCGCGAGGTATTTTCAGGCGAGTTCAGGCTACCATTTGAGTTAGTCCGAGAGCCCATACTGCCGGCATCTCCCTTCCCTTCTATACTTTCCAATCTCTTGTGCATCTGGTGCAGCTGGCGTGTCAGGTCCTGTGAACAGAATTCACAAAATATAAACAATCAGCACATTTAAAAAAAAAAAAATATGTTAAAATTATAAACAAAATCTCAATTACATATATGGTGGCGGTGGAAAGGGTGGAAAGGGAAGTAAACTTCTGTGCAAGCTAAGATGAAAAGTTATACTACTCTTAACAGATTCAGTGTAAAAAGTAAGCTCATGATGACAATCAATTTTACAGAGGCAAAGAAAATATGATAAGGGGATCATCATCATCATGTGCTATGCTCATAAGTGTGAAAGGTAGTGTCTCACTATTACCAGTGTCAGATCATGTCTGTGCTTTTGTCCCCATCATGCCATGTGAATCAGCCCTCTTTTTTTTACTGTTACATTAATTTCTCTACTTAATTTAGAGTTGAGTAACCTCATTATACCTTGCTTTAATAAAGTCTTATTGGTGTTCTGTTTGTTTTGTTTGTTTTAATATCCAGAAGCCATGAGTTGTTAACCCTTACGCTCAGTATTATGGATATTGCAACCTTTCGGCCTTAATTCCATTGTAAATACCGTAAATCTGGGAAAAAATGTGGCTTTTCTGCCCACCCCCGGAAGTGAACCCGGACCACAATGAGTTCGTCACCCGGTCACTGCGCAATCTGGTTTAGCCAACTACGCTAGAGAGCCGGGCATCAGTGTTCTAAGTCTGAACACAAAACAAAGACCACACAGAACAACAACTCCACAAAACACAAGAGTTCACAGAACAGCAACCAAACAAAACAGAGTACACAGAACACACAAAAAACCACAGGGAACAAACACCACACAGATTCATCAACCTTAATGTTGCTTGCATGCTGCCTCTTCAATGTCTTTCTGCTGTCCATCTCATCCTCCCACTTTTGCTTTAGATCACTACCTGCAACAAGCAAACTCACAGGTCAGTCTTTAAACAAACAAACAAACAAATAGTTGTGTGTCCTTTACATGACTACCTGCTATTTATGGTTTTACTAGGCAATTGTTCCTTCAGTAATTTGCAATTACTTGCTGAACGGTCGACTCTTTAAAAAAAACCATTTAAACCAACACAAGGCGGCCTCCTTTCAAATCATCTGCACCTGGGATTGAACCCAGCACCTTAGCCTTAAGAAGCTCATTCGAAACGCCTAAGCCACATGCACCTTTGAAATCTTTACTACCAATATTTTGATCAACTGGACGTGAAATACAATCTCAGCCTGTACATTGTGTGGCAACTGCTATGGGGCTTCTTATTAATTTTTTCATTATTAGAGAGTTTCTAATTCAGAGTTCATATGTGTCCTGCGGAAAAACTAATAATGTGCATGCAACATTTTTTCAGCACACTGCTGCGCAAGTCTGAGAGGCAAGGAACCATTACTCTGCATAAAAATGAGTCAGTTTCTGGAACAGTACTAGAGTATAGAAGTGGACGAACAACCAGAACTTTCCACCGGTGATCGCAAAGAAGAAGAAGACAAATCACAATCGCAAAACTGAGGATGCAACCAACTTACAGTATTTAACCGTGAACTACAAATACTTACACTCTTTTGTTTTTTCTGCCAGAATAGTTGTCATTTTTTCTCCTTCTTCTTTTCTCTTTACCTTTTCTTTATCAAGTTGGTCACTCTAAACAAAGTATTAAAGAAGAACATACAAGTCATCTGCATACAAATGTAAACCTGATAGTCAAATAATAACGTTACACAGAATATATTCTTAAAGCTAATGAAAAAAATAATCACACTATTCAGATGAGTTAAGAACTGACATCACAGCACTCTGGGCATTTCCATGTGTGCTTCGTCCTCATATTCAGCAGCCAGCGCAGAGGTCCAATACTAATGGTGCTAGACGTATTCTGGTTATATGTCCATCTTTCACACTATTCAATGCTACCATAACTGTCTGACTAAATATATTCTTAAATCAAATGGAGAGAAAAAAACTGTTCAACTACTGATCAGAATACTTCTACTGTCAGAATACTAGTACAATGTTGCCATAAGTATTTGAAAAAATAGAATATTATAATTTAAAAAAAAAAAAATTGTCATACCATTCAATGCTACCATAACTGTCTGACTAAATATATTCTTAAATCAAATGGAGAGAAAAAAACTGTTCAACTACTGATCAGAATACTTCTACTGTCAGAATACTAGTACAATGTTGCCATAAGTATTTGAAAAAATAGAATATTATAATTTAAAAAAAAAAATTGTCATACCATTCAATGCTACCATAACCATCTAATTAAATATATCCTAACATCAGACGGATACAAAAAACGAAATACTGCACTATCCAATACTACCATAACTGTCCAATTAAATATATTCAACATCAATTGGAAAAACAAAAACAAGTGTTACACTCTTCAACCCTGCCATAAATTTCTAACTAAACTCACCAAGTTTCTGACACTTGCTTCCAATGTCTGAATTTCCATTTTATGCTTTTCTACCTCACTTGTTAAAGACAATATCTGAAAAAAACATATTTTTAAATGTTTAATGTAACTTGTCAGAAAAAATTTCAACTTGTAAAGTACAAATGATAACAGTAATTTTCTTTAAGAATGTATTTACCACAAAAAAATAATCATATTATCTTGATTTTTTTTAAAAATTAATTTTAAGACTGCTTTAAATTAAAAGAAAATTATTCATTGCCAAGAAAGTAAAAAGACCCTTTTCCACGCCTTTAGGCGTATAGGGCATATAGGATTAGACCTATATTTTTATAGACCAATCGGCACAAGATGGGTGATGTGGTTTGCATCACGCCGGCTGCCTCTACTTCCTGGGACTGCACCCGGTACCCACTCAAAGCTGGGTCGACCTGGGAGCCAAAGTCATTTTTGAAAAAAGTCCAGCTCCTCCAGGGAGCGAACCTACTACCTTCCGATCTGCGGCGAGCCTCTAGTCGCTCTGCCACGGGGACTTCCTATTGTCCAGAGCATAGATAAAATTTTAAAAGATAAAAAAAAAATTGAAAAAACTACCTAAAAAAAAGTATATAGATGCAGCATGTTCCATTCTAGCATTTTAATTCTTCGTTGGTATGGAAGCCCCTCTTTTTCGCATGAAGTTTATGCACACAAGAAACAGAATGAAACAAGACAGAAGAAGAGGAGAAATAAGCAAAAGGAGAAGTACAAGGAAGAGGAGAGGAACATAAATTTATAGGAGAAGAAGAAGGAAAAAAACAAAAACAGCAACCTTATTGCTGAGGCTGGTGTTTTCTGATCTTAAGAGAGCACTTGTGTGGCTGAGTTCTGACTGGAGTGTCAGCATTTTGGACTCTCGCTCACTGCATGACTCCATGTCCTTCTGGAGATCCTGGTTAGTCATCTGAAGTTCAGCAATATCCTTCTGAAGAGCTTGGATGATGTCCTGGGAACTGATTTAGAAAAAAAAATCTTATTGTTACTTTGGCTGCTGCATGCTAGAATAGTTATACAGTTAAAAGTTTGTTGCGTATCCTTTACAGGAAATTGCAGAACCAACACCAGCATTTTGAGCTGTTGTGGTTTTCCTAAGCAAGTTTATGTCCAGTAGTTTGCCATTGCTTTCTGGACAGTCAGCTTCTTGATACCACAGTCGAAACCAATGCAGGGCGCAAGGCCCGCAGCTGGGATCGAACCCGGCATCCCAGCATTACAAAACGGGTTCGTAACGCCTTAGCCACAGGCGCCGACTATATACAGAGTTATTCAAAATGATGCATATGCTTTCACTTATAAATATTTCCCTGAATATACTTTACATATTAATAATATGCATATAAGAGAGAGGGGAAGGTCCAAAGTTTTGTCCTAGAGCGCAGTTGTGTAACCAACCACTTGATTGTGCATGCTAGTGCTACCAAGGACCCTTCAATCCAGTTCTTTGTGTGTGGGATGAGTTCGGCTTCGGCTTAGATGTTTGAAAAGTCTACAGACAGCCTGGAGTCGTACACCTATTTGAGTAGTAATATAGACAAAGATGGGGGAACTGATAGAGATATTAAAATAAGAATACAAAAGGCAAGAGGAGCTTTTTATAGCACTAGGGAATTTGTGGAGGTCAAAAGAAATTAAAAGAAATACTAAACTTAGAATTTTTAATAATAATGTCAAATCAGTACTTTTGCATAGGGCGGAAACATGGAGAACAACTAAGGCAATTACTAATAAATTATAGACATTCATTAACTGGTGCCTGTGCAGAAAAGAGGGAATTAAATGGTATGATAGAATAACTAATGTAGAGCTTTAGGAGAGAACTAAGCAAGCTCTAGTGGAGCAAGAGGTGAGGAAAAGACGCTGGCATTGGATAGGACACACATTGAGAAAATCGGAGAACAGAATAATAAGAATGTCTTTACATTGGAACCCACAGGGGCACAGGAATAAAGCAAGGCAAAAAAAACACATGAAGAAGAGAGCTGGAAAATGAAGTTAGAAAGATGGGGAGGACATGGTGTGATTTGGTTGAGGGCCTATGCTCCATTGGGGGAGAGAAAAGCAGATGAAGAAGAAGACAGCCACAATGTATAGCCTCTATTGTGAGTTTGTTAACTTTAGACCTTCCTCTCTCTTCTGTATGTATATTATTAATATGTAATATGTAATGTACATTCAAGGAAATATACATAAATTGGGAGTCTCCATGGTGAAGTGAAGTGGTCAAGCTGAAGTGGTCAAGCCGTTTGCCTCACATTCTGAAGGTCACGGATTCGTTCCACGGCTGCATTTGATCAGTTCATGAGTTCAATTTTTATGGAAATCCCTGGGGATCATCGCCAAAGCTATGGAATTCATGATCTGTGCAATGCTCTCGGCAGGTGCCGTTCTATGAAGAGCAAAAGTAACCAAGCCATATATAACCCAGTGCAATGAATTTGATCCTGTCAATTTAAACATTTTACCTTTTTATACATAAACGAAAGTATATCCATCATTTTGAATAACCCTGTAAATAAAGAACGAACAAACGAACTTTATTTTCAAAGGGTCACAAACTAGGCACACAGGCTTGTCTTACATTGGGCCCTTCCAAATACCCATCTTTCAGCAGTTGTATTTTATCAATAAAGCATGTTATGATTATCAAGTCAAAAACAAAAGCATGAGTGGTAAAATGCGTGCACACGCTCGCCCATGCACACATACCCACATACACACGCAAACCCATTCACACACTCTCACACACACACATAGGCACCCAATACACACACACACATCCACATACATACATACTTTCACACCTGTACATGTGTACATACATACACACACATATACATATATACATACACACACACATACATGCGTGCACACATACACACACATACATGCGTGCACACATACACACACGCACAGGCACACTCTCACAAACACACACTCTGAGAAACTGGGACTAAAAGACTTGGCCTGAGCTGAGCCTATGTTACCATATGAAATAAAGGGAAGCAGAGACTTGTACATCAAACCAGACTGCCAGCCAAGAGGTAATATGTCTTAATCTCCCATATGGCAGAATGTCAAAATTAAACTCAACTCTTAGTTTAATTCTGACTTAAAATGGACACCAGGAAATGTTATAGGAAGTAAAGGCTGCTTTCTTGATACTGACATTCCTCATCATCTTTTACAGAACGGCACACCTGACAACCTCTCTGTCTCTAGCCAATTCTCTAGCAATATGTGTATTCACAGCAAATACATCTTCAATGTCTTGTATTCACCTTCATGGAGGTCTGTCTCTGCCTCATTTTCAAGATACTGCACTCTCCATCACTCATCGTTCTCTCCAGGCCACCGTGAAGTTTAACATGGCCAAAATACCTCAGCTTTTGAGACAGGATGCTGTTTACATGCCAAGTCTCCTTGATATTCTGATCATGTAGGTTGTCAGTGTTTTTCTTATTGGTCCATGGGATTCTTATAATTTTCCTGTAGCATTTCAGTTAAAAAGCTCCGACTGTTTCTTCAAATACTGAGCAAGAGACTGACCATATCACCCGGCAAATTACAACTAGTCTGCAAACACATGGGGCTAGCACCATTTAGCCAACAGGCTTCACAGCATAGAAAAAAACAGGTTGTTTACTTTTACTGAACCCACTGATGAAATCAAATGGTACTGAATTTAAAGTTAATAAACAAAATCGAAACAACAGAAAAGAAATGTCTGATGAATCCTAAATGTAACTGGAAGAGACAGGATCAGAAATGATGATGATATCAAGAAAGAAGTTGGGATGGAGCCAGTACTAAACTATATTAAATGACAACAGATCAAATGGTTTGGACATGTGTCAAGACTTCTATCACATACTGCACCACAGACAGCCCTGTCACTTAGCCATAATGGAACCAGAGTTAGATGTCGACTATGCAAGTGAAGAAAAGATGGAATATCAAAGGTTGTAATTACCAGCAACTATGTAGCATATACCCCTGCTGGAACCAAATGCCTCTTCCGAACCTGACCCAGAAAGTCAGAATAGGATTTGAGAAGAAGAAGAAAGTCCCAGAATATTTCTTATCGTTCTTGCAACAGGTTCAGTAAATCTCTTGCTTGGAGCACCATATAATGCTTTGCCACCTGCTTTACAAGAAAATAATACAAACTATAAACTGCAACTAACCGCTGGTATTCTTCGTCTAACACTGAGAGTGATGCTATTTTGATATTCAACTCCGCAATATTTGTTTTCTGCCTCTGCATAATCTCCTGATAGTTCTCGATCATCTGATGGTTCTGTCTGCGTTCCTCTTCTAGGCAGGTCACCTGTGTTAAAGATAATGATATCCGTAAAATTATTTCAGTACTGTTAATACACAAATAATATTATCACAATGTGTCTAGACCAGTGGTTCCCAACCTTTCTAATGCCGCGACCCTTTAATACAGTTCCCTCATGTTGTGGTGACCCCCAAACAATTATTTTTCTTCACAACTTCAATAAATATGTTTTCCGATGGTCTTAGGCAACCCCTGTGAAAGGGTCGTTTGACCCCCAAAAAGGTTGTGATCGGCAGTTTGAATACCGCTGGTCTAGATGATAATCGCAAGTGGTCAATTTTTTGCCATCCTGCACAATCACTAAAATCATGGATCAGGTCAATGCTCTTGGCTGCCTCATCCAAATGGCCAGGTCCTAAAATATACAAGACCACACACAAAGTATTACCAAGATACTGTTCATGAGAAATCACTCATTGTACAAATGGAGCACAAATGATGTGGTAAGTAATAAAATATTAAAGAGAACATATAAATAAAAAATAATCTGAAAAATACATGTTTAAGTTTTTTAAAAAAAAAAAAACATATTTCACACTATTTATAGGGATGTGATCTGTTACTACTATTACTACTTACTGCTGCTACTATTGCTACTTACTGCTGCTACTATTACTACTTACTGCTGCTACTATTACTAAATGCTGCTACTGTTACTAATACTTTTTTTTTCTATATTCCTGTTGCATAACACCAAAACACTGCACAAACAGATTAATGCAATTTGAAAATTAACTTACTCCCTACAAAGAACATTTTTAAAAACAAAAACATCCTGAACACTTCACCCAGACACTCTCTGCTTGTAAGCCTCCATTCTGATACACACCAAAGCATCTGAAAATCACACTTAACCTCCCTCACCTGGATCTACACACCTGGTCTTGCTAGCCTAAAAAGTAATGAGTGAGCCGACCAGCTGACAAGCATTTAGCCAACTCATACAGAAATAAGCACGGACAAAGCAGCAATCATCAACACTGCTTGGAATGGACTAGTGGATAAACAAATCTCTGACACTAACGTGATTGTGTGACATGGGAGGAAAGCATGGTGAAGTATGTCTATGCACCTTCGAGGCGTGCAAAGGGATCTACACTTTCACTTTTACTGATTTTCCTCCGACATCTGTTTTCGAATGCATTTAACTTTTGCTCCATGTCTTTAGTGTTTCTCCAACTTTCAACGGCATATGTTAAAACTCAAAGAAACATTAGAGTTGAAAATACTTAGCTTGGTTTTAAAACTATACAATTTAGAGTTCCATATTTTGTCATTGCATGTCATAATTTCTTTCTCTGTATTTTCTTCACTATCAAAATTACTTTACTACCGAAATAAGTCGGTAAAACTGTACAGTTTAAAGGTAAATATCATGTTCAGGCTTTTAGAGGCTCATGCTTAGAATTTCTTGCTCTGTAAATTTTTGGCAATTAAAGTTGCTACCGAAACTGGTAAGCTGATCTGTATTTTGATTCTTTCTGCCTCCGATGTAACATTCACTTGAATGCAGACTTGTCCATACCAGGTAACAAATTTAAGACAATCATCAAATGCCATTCTCACCTTATCTTTGTAGATTTTGTTCTCCTCTATTACATCTTTATGTTGTGCTTTCAGAGAATCTAGTTCTCTCTTCAGCATCTGATGGACCTACAACAAAAATTGGGATAGGATGAAAATAAAATCAATACTGTACCCAGCCTGTGAACTACAGAGTGTCCTATAAGTTTCCATTCAAAGGAAAAATAAACAGTTTTTTTATTAAAACCCTTTTTATTTACATAATATGCTCTACATGGCTACCATTATTTTAAAAACACAGTGTGACGCATGTAGACCTTTGATGAAAAAAAAAACACAAATAAGCCCAGCTGGAGTTATGCTTGTAATGGCACTGGTGATATTTTTATTACCTGTTTTTGGGAAACTTGTGGGACAACTTGTAGGCAATTTAACTGTTATCTATGAGGAAGATGTTCACATCTTACTGGTCTCTCTCTGTAAGCAATTCTTTGTGGCTAGCTAACGACACCCCCCCCCCCTCCCCCACCAAAAAAAATTGTCTGTGCCATCTCCACAATGAAGGTTAGCTACAGTTTACCGCTGCTGTCTTTGGGGAATATTACATAGTGAGGCCCCAATCTATTCCATGGCACAGTTCTCGTACCATTCTCTGAAAAACCCCAAAAAGTTGGGGGTTTTTAAACCATCCACCATGAAAAATGAACCCTAGTACTTGAGGATCATGAAACTGTTAATCGCATTCACTAAACTCTAAGCCATAACAGAGACCTACCAGCACATAAAACATATTTTACCTTTCTATTTCTTCTTATTTTTCTCATTACTCTTCTTCTTTTCATTCTCCACTGTACATCTTCAAAAATTAACTTGAACATAATTAAAGAAAGGAGCACTTAATTTTAGCTTGCTGACATCTCAAAAGAGTTTGTTTTTAATAAGTGCATGCAACTGCCAAAACAATGTTCTATGTTCTTCAAACTGGACATTCAGAAACATTTTAATCATCATTTTCTTCTTCTGCCTTTCTAGCCCCCAATGAAGCCCTCAATTAACTCACACCAAGTCATTTTATCTTCTGCTAACGCATGCAGCACTCTCCATGTCCTCCTTGTCCTTCTAACTTCATTCTCCAGCTCCCTTCTCCGTGTGTTTTTTGGCTCCAGGTGCCGATTCTGGAGGTTTTTCTAGGTGAGAGGAGGTATGTTGACGATCGGACTCCTTTCAGCTTTCTCCACACTGTTGGTTGGCTGGGTTTTACTTGCTTCTCTTTTTGACTTACCCATGGTTGGTTGGTTTTTGTAGCTATGGTTTTTAAAGGATGAGGTAGCCAACCTCAAGCCCAACCTTACCCTTAGTCGCCTTTTATGACATGCCAGGTAGGGTGCAGTGTGTCACTATTCTTTGCTTCCCGTGAGGGCGCCAGTGACACACAGTCGAATCATCATTTTACCAATACCATATCCATCACTGTGTCCTATCTTTAATTTATTAAAAAAGTATAATCTCAGCCTACATTCTTAATAGGGTCTGAAGATATCAGCTGTTCACTTGCAGGAACTGGTAACACACATCATTTTTTCTCCTGGTCTCAGTGTTTCGTTTCATACTCAGCTCTATAAGTACTTGTCATACACCTCATTTTAAAAAAATGTGTGCATGTGGGACATGAAGGATACAGGTACTGAGTGGATTCATGGGGACAGGATGCCCATGGATCACAAAACACAGAGGGGGAAAATTGGGAAGGGAATTTAGGCAAAGGCAATTTAGGCAAAGGCAAAAAGGATTGCAGACAGGTTAGAGCTGAACTTCTGAGAAGAAACTTTAAATACATGCCACGGGAACAGTGGTCCCAAAAGATTCTGTGCACTTATGGAAGAATTTTCTTAATGCATTCTGGTCTTGCTAGTCACACTTTACCATGGGTTACGATTCCCAATCCTCCCTATAGCACAATGAAACACCATGGTCTCGAAAACCAGAAAGGTGTCAACACGTGACTTTACCAAAGGTTTTTCTATAGCAGGTTCCTTTGCCACTTTTTCACTTTATATTTTTTTATAGCCCTTCACTTATGTGCAAAGTGAAATAAAGTAAAGATCCCTTTTCACGCCTTTGGGTGCATCGGGCATATGGGAAGAGCGCCCATATTTTTACAGACCATCGGCACTAGATGGGTAATGTGGTCAGTATAACGCCGGCCGTTTTTACTTCCCCAGGACATACATCCTGGTACTCATTTTAGGCTGGGTCATCCAGCGACGCCCCATACCATGATAAAAATCCACACAGCCAGCAGTGGGTTTCAACTGCAGTACGCTGGAAATATAAGTTGGACTCAAAACACCTAAGCCACAGACGCATATCTCTTATGTGTGCAGATTACAAATTAAACAGAACAAACAAAAACACAGCTGTAAGCAAACGTAAACCCACCTCTTCTGTATCACTTAGTTCCTGTATTTGGGTTTTAAGTTCAGTTTCTTTCAACTTTAACTCCTTGTCCAAACTGTTTGACTTGAATTCATCTGATTCCTAAATATTAAAAAAAAATTATATATATATATATATATTTTTTTATATATACTAGGGCTGTACCAAATATTTGCTTCGTATTTGCTTCGGGGTCGAATAGTGGACCTATTGACCATTTGGTATTCGGCCGAATAGTTGCGGTCGGGCCGAATACGAATAGTAGTTACCTTACACCCACTTCTGCATACACTGCCTTAATGCTGACAACATGGAAGTTGAAAGCTAATGCAGCTTTCATGCATTAACTAAGCTGTCAGTTACAATTTCCAAGTTTAGTTACTTGTTATAATACTTAGGATTCTTTCATTCCTAGTTATTAGTTACCACAGAATGACTAAAGGATGCAAAACATAAAATGTTTTTTAAATGTTTACTATTCTGTACGAATACTAACTAGACATATTCAAGTCGATAATATGAGAATCAAACGAACGGAAACATATAAGTACTTGGGTGCAAACTTCAACTGCTCCAACATGCTGAGAGAAGAAATACAATCTAGAATACAATCTAGAAATAAAGTATACTATACCCTTCAAAATCTGCTAAAGTTAGTGTCTGTCTCTGTCGCGTGCCTAATGTAAGGATTTCTCCTTCAGAACCAACAGCACTTAGAGATAATTATGTTGAGTCGTTTGGCTCGTATTGGTCTAAGGGATTCCCCGTGGCCAATATACGCTCAACTTATCTCTGGAGTAGGGCAACTCAAGTATTGGCACTACAAAATATGTCAGTATGTGAATACAATATTTCTAGGCACACTTGGCTGGACACCCCCACTACTTACTAAAGAAAGCCCCCAGGTTATGATAGTTCATTATCATAACCATGTTAACACATATAATGAAGATACATACACATACAACTGCTAAACACTTAAAAAGGTGAAATAGAGAAACCTAAGTCAGCCATGAAAGTGATTGCATGTAATTAGTATAATGTATGTACATATAATATTGAAGTGAATTCCAGCTATCAGTGAAAGAATCTCAGCAACTAATGTCTAGATCCCAAGGAAACTATACAGACAGCCGGTCCTGGAGGTGACTATATGTCATCATTGGAAACAAATGAGCTGTGAGGAAAAAAACAGCACATGAAGCATCAGACTTAGCTTCTATCCTTTCTGTTTATGATGCCTCCTTCAGCTCCGGATGATTCGACTGTCTTTGACTCTGGGAATTCTGCTCCACTGGATCAAATAGTCAGAGAGTACCTCACCATAGAGGACACAATACTGCACTGGTACTTAGCAAGTCTCTATCACCACGTAGAATACATATTGTTTTTGAGCTACCCTAAGCTCTAGCACTGGTAGGCTGTTTGAGGTACCATCTCCCACATGTTGGAGATGTCAGGAACCTTCACAGGTGTTAGCTGGTGGGTACAGTTAGTTTAGGGTTGTTTGATTGGTTGATGGGTGTTGGTTGGACTGTGAAACTTCTGCCAGCTCCTCACAAAAGATACATCCTGTCAAGAAAATAACTCAAAATTAGTCATCACCAAGAGGGTAACATCTTGACAGGAAAGACAGAACAAGCATCAGTCATCAACCCCCATCTGCTGACTCCCCCCTGCTCTCCTGTTTCATTCCTCAGATTGCCTCTCCAGACCAAGAGACATAAGTCTCCTATAATCATCTGTCTGTTTAGTGCAAGAGAAGGCAAGTCAGATATACAGTGGAGATAGATAAAGTGTTCTAACCCATATATCACTCTCTCTCTCCCCCTCCCTCTGCACACAGACACCAATATTTACTGTCAGTACCTGCATTCCCTAGATTTCCAAACGCTCGCCCGCTCGCCTTAGCATTCAGTGATCTGGGTCAAACACACACATACTCTGGTTAACAAAGTCCTGACCCAATTCTGTCCCCATTTGGTATGCACAACTTCTCTAGTTAGTTTAAAACGTACACACTTGTAAGGGTATAAAGTTTTACCAGTATGGGTGGTTTATTGAGGGCATAAGCTGTTTAGTCTGTACAGGGGAAGGTCTACGTTCGAATCCGCTTCTCTAGCGATCAAGAACGGTCGAACTAAGTGTGATCACACAGCCGATACTGATCTCTCTACAGCAGTGACTATTTTACAGACATCATTTTAGGTACTCGTAAACTATAATTAACTTACCCAAGCATATGTAAAAACTGAGACATTCCAGATCGCCTTGAAAGATGAAATAATACAGGCATAGATTGACACGTCTGGACACTAGGTAGCTGGCAAAGAGAATAGCGTCACTTAGACACTTCAGGTGTTGGTGCAAAAAGAAGTCCCTAGTATACATGAGCAAGGAGTAAATCGGTTTCCACGAAACCTCAAATAACTCCCTTCATATATATCGAAGATATATACATTTAAAAGTGGAGTTTAGTTAAAGTAACCAGAAAAGGTAGACATAATAATGTTGTCCAATAAAGGCCTATATATATATAGATATAAGGGACTATATATTTCTGGGCGAGTCCAAGTTTGAATTTTGTGCAGATTACAGGTAAGTCAGGTTATCAGCCTTACAGACCGATGCGTAATGGCTATCATTTCACGACAGTACCCCCCCCCCCCCCCAAAGGGAAGAGCGTACTACGCGAATGAACAATGATCAGCCATCTACACATCTATGGACTCACTACTTTCAGCTTGCTCATCACCTTCAGTCTGTGAATTATCAGACAAGGGATGGCGACTCAAGAAATCTGCTCTGAATCGAAGAGTTGACCAAACCAACCTCTCAGAGACTGATGAAATATATACAATAATGACAATCATGTGAAAATAGAGAAACCTATGACCACTATACAATACTAATCAAACAAGGAATGTATATAGACTCAGTCTATGGCCCTGAGGGCCTAAGACTGATGACTCCCTCCATGTATCACTGATCCCTGCCAGGTACATGCAAAGATGTAGGTTCAGACCGAACCCCCCGATCGGGTTGGCTGAATAAACCCACACACCATCCTGGTACTCCTGTCATATTCAGGAAATTTACCGGTGTGTCTCCTACATCAGTAGTCACACAGGAAGGTCGTCGAGGCATGTGGGATATAATCCCTCCCGACTGATCCTTCGCGAGGTTCGGAAGGATAATCCTCCCCTCGTCACTATGTGCTCCAACAAACACAGGAAGGAACCCTGGTGTGAATTGAAAATTCTTCACCTTCTGGTCCTCCTGATGGTCTGGAGGTTTACTCCATTCCTCTTTAAAAAGAGGAGCTTGCACAGGGCATTGACGAAAAGGCTCAACAGGAACCAATGTCGTAAAACACTCATTTAATGAAGTGTGCCCTGGCTCCACTCTCAGGAAAGAGTTACACTCTGACAAGAGTTGCTCTATAGCTTGTTTCTGAGAGACAGAGAGAGTTGGGTTAACCTCTACATCTTTATAGGTCTCCCTGGGGTGAAGAGGATATTCCACAGCTGTGGCTTCTCCACCTTCCACCTCCATAGCTACAGAAAGTGTCAAGAGGGTCGGTGTGTCACTTACCTCTCTCTCGTTGTATTTCCGGAGGAGATTAATGTGATAGACCTTTGACTTACCTTTAATGTTGATCTTATAATGGATCCTGGATATCTTCTCTACCACCGTATACGGGCCTCCCCAAGCTAACTCTAACTTAGACTTCCCTGATGGTAGCAGCAAAAGAACCCTATCTCCAACCTCAAGACATCGTTCCTTCGTCTTCCGGTTGAAATGTGCAGCGTACCTCTTACGTGCACGAATCAAGTTCTCTTTAGCCAGGTCCCACCCTAGCTTTAACCTTTCCTTGAGTTCCTGCACATACTGTGATATGGTTTTCAAGGAATCATCTGCCCCTTCGTTTGTCCATGTCTTCCTGAGAATGGCCAAGGGTCCAGAAATGTGTCTTCCGAACACCAAGGTCGCAGGTGGAAATCCAGTAGAGGCATTGGGTACTTCCCGGTAGGCGAATAGTGCTGCAGACAGATACTCGTCCCACCTCTCTGGCTTTTCCTGGGTTAATCTTCTCAGAAGCGATACCAACGTTCCATTGAACCGCTCATTCTGGCCGTTCGCTTGGGGTCGGTATGGACTGGTGCAAATGTGTTGAGACTTGATTACCTGAAACACTTCCCCCAATCCGACTGGTGCATTCCTGCCTTTGGGAGCTACCTTCTGGCACTCCGGACAGGATTTGACATAATGCATGATATCTGCTGACATACCTGGCCAAAAGTATTGACAGGTAATGCGTTGTGTCGTTGCATGAATTCCCATATGGGCACTATAGGCTATAGTGTGCCCCATCTGGAGAATCTGCTGTCTATATGTGTGCAAGAGAAGGCAAGTCAGATATACAGTGGAGATAGATAAAGTGTTCTAACCCATATATCACTCTCTCTCTCTCCCCCTCCCTCTGCACACAGACACCAATAACTCAAAATTAGTCATCACCAAGAGGGTAACATCTTGACAGGAAAGACAGAACAAGCATCAGTCATCAACCCCCATCTGCTGACTCCCCCCTGCTCTCCTGTTTCATTCCTCAGATTGCCTCTCCAGACCAAGAGACATAAGTCTCCTATGTTCATCTGTCTGTTTAGTGCAAGAGAAGGCAAGTCAGATATACAGTGGAGATAGATAAAGTGTTCTAACCCATATATCACTCTCTCTCTCCCCCTCCCTCTGCACACAGACACCAATATCAACTGTCAGTACCTGCATTCCCTAGATTTCCAAACGCTCGCCTTAGCATTCAGTGATCTGGGTCAAACACACACATACTCTGGTTAACAAAGTCCTGACCCAATTCTGTCCCCATTTGGTATGCACAACTTCTCTAGTTAGTTTAAAACGTACACACTTGTAAGGGTATGAAGTTTTACCAGTATGGGTGGTTTATTGAGGGCATAAGCTGTTTAGTCTGTACAGGGGAAGGTCTACGTTCGAATCCGCTTCTCTAGCGATCAAGAACGGTCGAACTAAGTGTGATCACACAGCCGATACTGATCTCTCTACAGCAGTGACTACTTTACAGACATCATTTTAGGTACTCGTAAACTATAATTAACTTACCCAAGCATATGTAAAAACTGAGACATTCCAGATCGCCTTGAAAGATGAAATAATACAGGCATAGATTGACACGTCTGGACGCTAGGTAGCTGGCAAAGAGAATAGCGTCACTTAGACACTTCAGGCGTTGGTGCAAAAAGAAGTCCCTAGTATACATGAGCAAGGAGTAAATCGGTTTCCACGAAACCTCAAATAACTCCCTTCATATATATCGAAGATATATACATTTAAAAGTGGAGTTTAGTTAAAGTAACCAGAAAAGGTAGACATAATAATGTTGTCCAATAAAGGCCTATATATATAGATATAAGGGACTATATATTTCTGGGCGAGTCCAAGTTTGAATTTTGTGCAGATTACAGGTAAGTCAGGTTATCAGCCTTACAGACCGATGCGTAATGGCTATCATTTCACGACAGTCTCGCAACACCTAGATCAAAATATATAAAACGTTCATAAGACCAGTTGTTTTATATGGCTCTGAAACTTGAATCAGAAATAAAAGAGATGAGGCCTTATTACAGGTTTTCGAAAACAGTCTTACGGCAAATTTTTGGACCCATCAAAGATGCTAACAGCGGGGAATGGAGAGTGAGAAGCAACAACGTAACACATAATCTGTTTAAATCACCATTGATCACTGGCATCATGAGAACTAACAGACTAAAATGGTTGGGGCGTATTGAAAGAATGTCAGATGACAGAGAAGTAAAAACTGTATACACCTGAGAGAGGAATGGGCGTAGACCACGAGGCAGACAAAAAAGAAGTTCGAGAGATAATGTCCAGCCAGACCTGCAAACAACTGGTGTCCCAAATTGTGAAGATAAGGCCAGTCAGAGAGATGAATGGAGACGAGTGATATCTGCAGTAGTAAACCTCAAGGGTTCAGAATGCTAAAGAAGAAGATGACTATTCTGTACTACTTTATGTGAAGTAAAAGTTCAGCGTACATTTGACATTATGAAGTTTTTAAAATTTCTTTTAGATATATTTTATACACTATACACTATTCGTATTTGTATTCGGCCGAATAGTTTGTCCCACTATTTGTATTCGGCCGAATAGTGAAAATAACTTTTCAGTACAGCCCTAATACACACACACATATATATATATATATATATACATATCTTCTTCTTCTTCTATACATTTACTGGCTGTAAACTCCGGCAATAAGTTCTGGCTGTTCGTCCACTCCTGGACTTCAGTCCTGTTCCAGAACTTGAGTCCTGCGTGAAAATCTTTTTTACAAACTGGGGAACTGGAACCCATTAAGGGAATATCTGTATTTAAGACTAAAACTCAATGTGGATCAACTATAAAAATGGTCTTGCTTTCATTTAAAAAAAGTAGCTGCTGTAATGCAGTGATTAGTTACCCAACTGCTAGCTGAAGGTCTAAAGTTTGACAATCACGTTGGCTACTAAGTCCCAGGAAATGTCTAGGGAAGTAAAGGCGGATTCCATTATACTGACCACATCAGCCACCAACTGCGGTTTGGTCCATAACTTGACAACTTCAAAACAGCTTCTCCAACAAAATGGGTCATGAACATGTGGGAATTTCTGAAAAAATCTTGTATATTGAGGGGGGGGGGGGGGGGAACTATTTTACATAGGTCACTAAAATAAGTGGCATTTAGGTGGAATAAGGCGGCCTAACTGAAGTGCAAGGTTTGCAGCTTCACAGAACATCTCATCAAAGTTACCAGTTGAAAAACAAAAAAAAAAAACTGTTCATACCTTAGGTGCGCCAGGCATATAGGGCTAGACCTATGTTTTTATAAATCAGTAAGCACAATAGATGAGTGAGGTGGTCAACACCTATTTGGCTGCCTTTACTTCCCAGGACATCCCCTGGTTCCCATTCTGGACTGGGCTGAACTTCAATGTGTTTAAAAATCCATTCATAATTAACTTACTGGCTCATCCTCACCATTTTTTTTAATTTAACATTACATTTGTTCACGACACGTCAAAGCGGGCAATAATGTAATTAATAATATGAATAATAACAATAGGAAATTTTTTTTTTTAATTTTTTTGCTCTGACCTGATATCTTTTCACAATGGCCTGGCACTCCTTACGAATCAACTCCGTTTCTTCTCGTGCTTCTTTTAGTTTAGCAGTTATTTTCTCTAAATTGCTTTTGGTTTCCTGTGGTGTTAATCAAAAGTTAAGAATAAAATAATTATAAATTAACTGTGATTGATAAAAAATAATGATATTCTACAAAACATTGTAATCTTCAACACTGACTGTATATTCTGATCAGTTCTCATTCTGGAAGTCATTTACATTATCAATGTTCTGAAAGACAGAAGATTTGCTTCCATCACTTCTTCTTCTTCTTCTTCTTCAGCATTCTGTGCCCTTGAGGTTCATTGCTGCAGATTTCACCCGCCTTCATTCATCTCTCTGCTTGGCCTTCTCTTTCCAGTTGGTAACATCAAGTGTTTGCAGGTCTGTCTGGATATTATCTCTCCATCGTCTTCTTGGTCTCCCTTGTGGTCTACAACTATTCCTCACTGGATATGTATTATAGAGCCTGACTGTTCTAAAAGAAAGAACTGAGCCTTCACTGATCAGCTCTGTCGAAAGTACTGACTCACCATGTAGTCTGATTGTCAATTTGGGCTGTATAGAATATTCTCTTCGTATTCGCTTCGGGGCCGAATAGTGGACCTAATAAATATTCGGTATTTGGCTAAATACTTGCGGTCGGGCGGAATATGAATAGTGGTTACCTGTTTCTGCATACACTGCGATAGACTGAAAAAATCTCTCATTAACCCAATAGTTGCTGTTGCCTAAGACTGTCGTAGCGGGAGCAACTGCGACCCGGTTGTGTGGTACAGCATCCAGTTTTAACATATGGCTGTGAATCCTGGACAATTGGTAGGCAGGCCAATCAATTTCTTGAGGCCTCAGAAATGTGGTTCTACAGAACAATGCTTAAAATACCTTGGACAGCCAAAAAAGCAACCAAGAGGTTTTGAAAGAGGCAGGAGCCCGAAGACAACTAATCACAGACATTAGAAGGAGACAGCCATTATTTTGCGGCTATGTTATGAAAAGAGGGAAAATGGAACATGTGGTGACCACTGGAAAGATCTGTGGACGGAGGGATGGAGTAAGACAATGAGAGAAGATTCTTGACAGTCTTGTTGCATGGCATGGAGGTGTGTCACACAAACTAATACATGCTGCAGGAGATCGCAGACTGTAGCAAGGCCCACGCCAGTCGGCAAGGCACCTGATGATGATGACACACTATTCGTATTCATATTTGTCCGAATAGTTGGTCCCGCTATTCGTATTCGGCTGAATAGTGAAAATCTTTTTTTGGTACAGCCCTACAGTCAATGGTATATGTCTGTTGTCAAACCAAACTGTATTCAGAGAGAGGAGTATCATGAGAACTTTTGTACCTTGACATGTTTACCTGGAGCCAGTGTCTTCTTCAGAAGGTGAAAGCATTCTGTTTAAGCCAAACTAATCATACAGCAGTGTTCATTGATGACACATAGTCATCTATAATGAACCATTTTCTCTTCTAAAGTTTCATAGTACAGACAGACATATTAATGTTTTCTGTGATGTTTAAGAAACCACAAGAACCCATTGGAACTCTTCCTATTCAGAATACAATCAATCTCCTTAAATGAAAGCAATCAACCACTGAATTTATACTGTAAACTAGACTCAACAGCAGCTTTATGTACAAAAAAACTCAAGAATGGGGTCTCAGAAGGTAGGTAGGTAGTTGTACCCCACCATGACGTCACACAAGCGAGGATCACCAGTGGAGAGGTCCCAGAAACCCCTTTCAGCCGTTAGGCCAAATCTATTGCCGGGCTATATTCAGGGCCCCAGGCAGAAGCCAGGATGGTTCTTCAAATAAAATATTGCATCCCACATAGGGGACGACTGATATAATTCTGCTAGGGACTCAGAATTGTGCCCATGGGGACAGAAAACACAGAATACTAAACATCTGCTGCAGCTGTGTTCTCTACATATAGCAGGGAGATTATAGGTCTCTCCAGTTAGCATTCCAGAGGAAACCAAGCTGTATGGATCAGCAGATGACTGTTCGCACCACAGACTTCACAGAGGCCTGTGGCCTTTTGATCTGAAAACCAATGCAGGAAAAATGAAAAGAAGATAATGAAGATTAAGAATGCTACTCTACAGTCTGGGACAGAAAAGTGTTAAATTGAGTTGAGTTGATTCAAGAACCGACATCACAGGACTCGGGAAAATTCCATAAGCACTCCATCCCCATCTTCAGCAACCAGTGCAGATTTCTCATAATAATGGTGCCAGTAGCATTCTGATCAAATGTCCATCTTGCCTTTCCTCTGAGCCTAAAGCATCTGCCATAGCCCCTCATCACTCCCTGCTGCATCAATCTCACCAGACTGTGGTGATCTAACTGCTACTCCGAACTGTACACGCTCTCCCACAAGGCACTAACCATGTCTGCCTTATCATGCATCAGTATTCCACTAAGTTGTGCACAGCCAGCCAGTCTGTTCGCCTAGAAAAGTATTAAAGCAACAACAACAATTATCTAAGACTGAAGGCGTCAAACAAAAATGTCAAATATTTCAAATATTTTAATCCATTTCTAACAAACCTTATGACTTTCAAGTTCTTCCTTTAGCTTGTTCTGGAACCATTTGACGCGATGATCACTTGAGTTCACAGCTTCTTTCAGTTTCTCAACTTCTTTTAGCACATTACTAACTTCTATGCACTGTAACAGTGTAAAAAAAAATGTTTTACTGACTGCAGTCACTGCTTTAAAATTAGATTTCATTAACAATGGTGCATTCACATGGAAAATATACAACTATATACTGTATTTTTCAGAGTATAAGACGCACACATGTATAGGACGACCCACATTTATTTTAGCGACAAATTAAGAAATAAATATTTTAAGCACAATCCATGCTTAAGACGACCCCCAATTATAAACATAAACAACTCTGGGAAAACACACCATCTAAGCCATGGAAAAATATGGTACTTTGGAAATTCTTGGTCTTCTACCAATTATCTCCCCTTGCAGCAAAGGTCCAACTTACCGCAAGCTGTTTTATCTTTTGCCAAATTCAGCAGTTTCCTGCATGACCTCCCCATTATATGCATCTCTATCTCCATGTGTTTAAATCTCATTCTATCTCTTGTGCCCTCGGAGGTCTAATGAAAGAACAGTTTAGGTATCCTATTCACAAGTTTTTATGAATGTGTGTCCTGACATAATGTCACTAAACTGTAAGCCATAGAGCCACCTAATATAACAAAACTGATATAACAGTCATTTTAACATAACACTGTGACTGTTATGATACATATGTATTATGATACATATGTATCACTAAATAAGCAACTTTCTTTTTTTCACTTATGGCTAAAATTACGATTCTGTGCCTTTTCACTCAACACATCTAGTTTCAGGAATCAATTAATGGTTGCCTTTTACAAAATACTCATTAAGATGGTAGTAGGTCTTTTATTTTCTCCCAAATTCGGGGCCTCCGAACCAATATGAGAAGTGTGGCACATATAATTAACTGATAAACATACTGCTTGACTAACTAAAAGTGATAGAAAGATGTACATCGCTGAAAAGATGAGCAACAAATAAAAACAAGTACCACCAACTTCATTTAAATAGCATTTGACATGACAGAACTGCCCCAGAGTTTTTGGGGTGGGGGGTAGATAATAACTCCCCCCCCCCCCCCCCCCCACCACCATCACCCCTTTCTTCACAGCAAGCATGTCATAAAGAGGAATTGCTGAAATTATGTGTTAGACCAAAAAGGCAGACATGCTGTAAACCACACCAAAATACAATGACTTGAAACGGAAAAAAACAATCGTCACATTCAACCAGCTATTCTCCGAGGAGGGAGCTATTGATTTTAATTGTCACTAGGTTTATGTGCGCCATTTAAAATGGCTTAGCAATGCTCGCCACCAAGTAGCCCTGAAAAGGACTCTTGCAGTGTTGATGCAATCAGAAGAGACAGACCCAAATACTGTCCTGACCGATGATGAAGTTATCTACCAGCCAGCCAATGGGCCACCTGGTCGCCGATCATCACATCACAATGTGCCTTTTAAGGGCAACTGTTGATGAAGACAAGACATTGAAGATTGACAATCACCACTGTCTGCTCTAAACAAGATACTTGAACAAGACATTGGAGAGTGGTAATCACCACCGTCTGCTCTAAACAAGATACTAAAAAAAGACAGTGAAGAGTAGCAATCACTGCTGTCTGCTCTAAACAAGATACTTGAATAAGACACTAGTGTGTGGCAATCACCACTGTCTCCTCTAAACAAGATACCTGAACAAGACACTAGTGAGTGGCAATCACCGCTGTCTGCTATAAACAAGATACCTGAACAAGAAACTAGTGAGTGGCAATCACCGCTTCTACTGTAAACAAGATACTTGAACAAGACACTAGTGAGTGGCAATCCCCGCTGTCTGCTCTAAACAAGATACTTGAACAAGACACTAGTGAGTGGCAATCATCGCTGTCTGCTATAAACAAGATACTTGAACAAGACACTAGTGAGTGGCAATCCCCGCTGTCTGCTCTAAACAAGATACTTGAACAAGACACTAGTGAGTGGCAATCACCGTTGTCTGCTCTAAACAAGATACTTGAACAAGACATTGAAGAGTAGCAATCACCGCTGTCTGCTCTAAACAAGATACTTGAATAAGACACTAGTGTGTGGCAATCACGACTGTCTCCTCTAAACAAGATACCTGAACAAGAAACTAGTGAGTGGCAATCACCGTTGTCTGCTCTAAACAAGATACCTGAACAAGAAACTAGTGAGTGGCAATCACCGTTGTCTGCTCTAAACAAGATATATGAACAAGAAACAAGTGAGTGGCAATCACCGCTTCTGCTGTAAACAAGATACTTAAACAAGACACCAGTGAGTGGCAATCACTGTTGTCTGCTCTAAACAAGATACTTGAACAAGACACCAGTGAGTGGCAATCACTGTTGTCTGCTCTAAACAAGATACTTGAACAAGACACCAGTGAGTGGCAATCACCGCTGTCTGCTCTAAACAAGATACTTGAACAAGACACTAGTGAGTGGCAATCACCGCTGTCTGCTTTAAACAAAATACTTGAACAAGACACTAGTGAGCGGCAATCACTGTTGTCTGCTCTAAACAAGATACTTGAACAAGACACTAGTGAGTGGCAATCACCGTTGTCTGCTCTAAACAAGATACTTGAACAAGACACTAGTGAGTGGCAATCACTGCTGTCTGCTCTAAACTAAATACTTGAACAAGACACTAGTGAGTGGCAATCCCCACTGTCTGCTCTAAACAAGATACTTGAACAAGACACTAGTGAGTGGCAATCACTGCTGTCTGCTCTAAACAAGATACTTGAACAAGACACTAGTGAGTGGCAATCACCACTGTCTGCTCTAAACAAGATACTTGAACAAGACACTAGTGAGTGGCAATCACCGCTGTCTGCTCTAAACTAGATACTTGAACAAGACACTAGTGAGTGGCAATCCCCGCTGTCTGCTCTAAACAAGATACTTGAACAAGACACTAGTGAGTGGCAATCACTGCTGTCTGCTCTAAACAAGATACTTGAACAAGACACTAGTGAGTGGCAATCACCGTTGTCTGCTCTAAACAAGATACTTGAACAAGACACTAGTGAGTGGCAATCACCCCTGTCTGCTCTAAACTAGATACTTGAACAAGACACTAGTGAGTGGCAATCACCGCTGTCTGCTCTAAACAAGATGACTTCATCAAAACTTCCGGTTAAAATGGACGCTAGGCAGCGACGCCGTTTGGAACAGAGGCAAATTTTTTGCTTCTGCCGGACGGTGGCCGATGCATTTTAGCTCCATTTGTAGACTGGATATAGTTTCGTCGCCCAGCTTCTGAGTTGAATGCATGGCGTGACCCTGTGAGCTGCGGATTGCATTTGGAATGTTTTTTTTCGACTGTGACCAACGTGGTGGTGTGAATTGTAGATTCAGAAAATGGCGCGATGCCTGTCGTTCAATGCTTGCGGGACCCGTATTAAAATTGATCACGAGCGGACAACTGCTGATCTGTTGACGACAGTTCTGCTATCATCAATGATGAACTGCATTTCTAATGTTGGACTGTTTGTGTTAGCACTTCGGATGGCTACCATATGCTTTAATGCGAGTGTATGCTAGATATGCTGAGACAGCAGTCTGTCAATCTTTCCACAAGGGACTGTGATAGACATTCTGAGTGTTTTTCGCTGGCACAGGAGCGGAGCAAAGATGGGGCAACCCGTTTGCTATGAAGCTGAAACTAAGACTACCAGACTACTAGACTACCAGTCTAAACAAGATACTTGAACAAGACACTAGTGAGTGGCACATCACGGCTGTCTGCTCTAAACAAGATACTTGAACAAGACACCAGTGAGTGGCAATCCCCGCTGTCTGCTCTAAACAAGATACTTGAACAAGACACTAGTGAGTAGCAATCACCGCTGTCTGCTCTAAACAAGATACTTGAACAAGACACTAGTGAGTAGCAATCACCGCTGTCTGCTTTAAACAAAATACTTGAACAAGACACTAGTGAGTGGCAATAACCGTTGTCTGCTCTAAACAAGATACTTGAACAAGACACTAGTGAGTGGCAATCACCGTTGTCTGCTCTAAACAAGATACTTGAACAAGACACTAGTGAGTGGCAATCACCGTTGTCTGCTCTAAACAAGATACTTGAACAAGACACTAGTGAGTGGCAATCACCGTTGTCTGCTCTAAACAAGATACTTGAACAAGACACTAGTGAGTGGCAATCACTGCTGTCTGCTCTAAACAAGATACTTAAACAAGAAACTAGTGAGTGGCAATCACCACTGTCTGCTGTAAAAAGATACTTGAACAAGACATTGTAGAGTGGCGATCACCACTGTCTGCTTTAAACAAGATACTTGAACAAGACATTTGAAAGTGGCAATCACCACTGTCTGCTCTAAACAAGATACTTGAAAAAGACATTGAAGAGTGGCAATCACCGCTGTCTGCTCTAAACGAAGACACTTGAAGAAGACGATTACCTTCATTTCAAAATTTGTAAGTGCCTTTTGTTTATCTGCCTTTGCCGCTTTTAATGCATTCATCATCAAATCCCTTTCTTTCATAGCCTCCTTGACTTTGGCTTCGCTTTTCTCCACAATTCGCCTGGCATCTATGTGTTTGGCTTCTGATTCAGCAAACCTGACCACAATCATGTCTTTTTCCTTCCTGCACTCCTCGTACAGCTTGGTTACCTGATGAAGGTAACAATGACTGCACTTAATCATGATGATTATAAATATCTAATATAAATATCTATTATCTGATAAATGTAAACATCCATCACAGGACAAATATAAATATCTATCACACGACCAATATAAATATCTATTACAAGACAAACATAATGATTTATCAGATGACAAACATCAATATCCATCATATGATATAAATATCTATCACATGACCAATATAAATATCTATTACACGACAAACATAATGATTTATTAGATGACAAACATCAATATCCATCATATGATGTAAATATTTACCGCATGACAAATATAAATATTTTGTCAATGCCATATGCCACATAGTGCTCACAGTTTAGTTCTTTATTCCATTTTAATCTTTTTAAAATTCTCAAAATCATGGATGGAGTCCAATCCAGAACCTCTGACCTATCTCAACAACATATCTTAATTGGTTTTTTTTGGGGTGGGGGGTGGGGGGGGGGGGGGGGGGGGGGGTGGGGGGGGGGGTGGGGGGGGGGGGGGGGGGGGGGGGGGGTTTACTGTTATTTCCTTAATCTGTTTTTTTCGCCATTCAGTGCCTGTTTGGTGCTCAATATATTGCCATATTCTCTGTTTTATAACTGCTAACTTTATAACTGATGTTTACTGTCCATTCTATTTTCTTTGGTATTTGTTTCCAAATTCACTTAACTGCCTTTATTACTCAAAAACAAACGTAATTATATATCAGTGGCTATGTATAAACAGATTTTCCAGTCAGCGATGACAAGATCAACCTTGCTGCACCAAGTTATTTCCCATATGGCTTGGTTTCTCTCTGCAGAGTGGCTGGTGTATTATGAAGCACAAACTCTGTGGCTCTGGTGACAGTCCCCAGAAATCTCTGAGAAAATTTCACTTGTTAACCAAACGACATAGTCTCAAACCAAACCCATGTTCATCAAAGCATAAGCCTTAACTACTTGACAATGGAGATTCCCAAGTCTATGTATTAATAACCTAACAACAATAAATATCTGCTGACCAAGCAGATAACAGCTGCCAATCCTGAGAAGAAACAAGCAGAGAATCCCCAAATAGACACTAAAATGGGAAATAAAAGGACTGTGGAAGTAAGGCTGCCCAAAAGAAACTCTAAAATGAATGCTGATGAGAGAGGCCAAAGTTACTAGACCAGATTCCATCCAGATATCAAAATTCAAAATGACTGCACAGGACAGAATGGAATGGAATAATAGACTGCGAGTCTTATGTAACATATAATGGCACAACAGGTCAACCATGGTGCTGATCAAGCAATCAATGTCCCTCATCGGTTGCAATTCAGTTTTTAAAAAACTGAAGCGCAAATTAAAACTGCTAACAATTAAACATCAGAGCTATGAAATATTGGTGTGAATTTGTTAAGGACCTATACTTTGTTGGAGGGGGGAGGGATAAAATGCATAAAAGGGTTCACTTTCAGCTACAAGGATTTGCGGGCATACAAGAGAGATGGATAAACAAAAAAATCTTTCAGACAGAACAATAGCATGTGTACATGCAGCAAGAGTGGAAAGAGAGGCAGATACTGACACTTAAAAAACATCTACCAAGACAACCTCAAACCCATTTATATGGAAATATTTTGAAAACTATTAACAGTTCAGAACTCTGGGGTTCAACTAAGTCCTCTTGTTGGCACTTCTGATGGCTGCCTTATGCATTTGATACATGTGTAGCTACTGGCTTTGCTGAGACTGCAGTCTGTTTAAATTTGTTTCACAAATTAGGCATTCTGTCTGGTTTTCACTGGCACTGATAAGGAGCAATTATGGGTGGCCTGTCTGCAGTGAAGTTGGACTTGTAACTAATAGATTTATTACCTTATTAGCAAAGTCGGTTCTTTATTAATATCTTACCCCAGATGACGTCACAGGACAGTCCACACATTTTAGAGGGTGGTAAGACTGGGTTTTCCGGCTTTCTGATGCTTTTAACGACCCCGAAACATCTAGAACTGGTCCTAACCCCAACCCACCTACATCCCACGAGAGAGTGCAGCCTAGGTCCTATGACTGCATGCAGCCTAGGTCCCACGACTGCATGCAGCCTATCAACCAACCCCTGAAATATTAGACTGTCCTGTGACCTGTGGATTTCCTCTGCTTGGGGTAGGATATTAATAAAGCACCGCAAAGTCCACTTCTGATACCCAACATTCCTCAGTAAACACAATATCAGGATCATGCATGCATGCACACACATACCTGTTCAACTCGGGACTTGAGCTCATGCTGTAATGTTGTGATGGCTCTTTTAGCTGAAGTGTCCTGTGTGTGTCAGTTTTCCTTTTAATTCTTGTATCTCTCTCTGCTGCTGGGTTATTGTATGCTCCAGCTGTGAAATATATTACCTGTGTTAACCTAGTCATCTCCTTGTGAGATGCAATTTTTGGTTATTTTGAAGCCCCACCCTGACTCTTGCCAGGGACCGCAATATAGCCCGGCCATAAATATGGTCTAATGGCTGAACGCGGTTTCTGGGACCTCTCCACAGTGATCCTCATCCACATGGTGGCACTTTGTGTCATTGGGTTTTTATCGCTTGTGTGATGTCCTGGTGGGGTAAAAGTACTACTACTACTACTAATATATTACCACCTATGTTACCACACTTACACTACAAATTTCTTCTTCTTCTTCTTTTTCTTAGCATTCATCAGCTGTAAACTCCAGTGGAAATTTTTGGTTGTTCGTGCACTCCTGGAATTTGGTCTTGATCCAGAACTTGAGTTTTCAGTGCTTATCTGTTTTACACATCTGGTTTATTTATATGCAGACTACTGGTTTCTTGCCTCTTAGGCAGAGGTCATCATTGTAACAAACTCTGGAAGAATGCTGAGAAAGATGAAAACAGGGATGCTTCGAGCAGAGTGGCAAGCTTCACTAAAAAGGTCATTGGTAGTGAGCATACTTTGGAACTTTTCTCTTTTCTCCAGGCAATTCCGGCATGGTTGGTAATGAACAGGCTGACAGATTGGCTGGATCTGCACCACTGGGTGGTGAATTGATACATGACAAGGCAGATGTGGTCCAAGCCCTTTGGGAAAAAGCAACGGAATCAGTAGAGAAACAAGATTATTATGGCCTGGAGAGAATGAAGCACCTGGGTGTAACCAGAGGGTCTGGCCGGCTCACTACACTCAGAGGAAAGGCAAGACAGACATATAACCAGATTATGACCGGTACCATCAGTATTGGAACTCTGGGCTGGCTGCTGAAGATAAGGATGGAGCATGCATGAGAATGCCCCGAGTGCTGTGATGTCATTTCTTGACTCAACTCATCTTGTAAATTGTCAGGATATTTATTATTCTTCATCCACAGTAAAAAAAAAAAGTAAAGTTCCCTTTTCACGCCTTTCGGCGCATCGGGCATATGAGCAGAGCGTCCCATATTTTTACAGACCATCAGCACTCTGTGGGTAATGAGGTCAGCATTACGCCGGCTGTCTTTACTTTCCCAGGATAGCCCATCCTGGTACCCATTTTAGGCTGAGTCGACCTGCGACGTCCCATACCACGATAAAAATCCACGCAGCCTGCAGTGGGTTTTGATCGCGGTATGCTGGCTTACGAATCGGACTCGCAACGCCTTAGCCACGGACGCCGCATTTCATCCACAGTACTATAACAATATTTCTGAAATGCTCAAGTTAAAAGCATTACATAAATATTCAACCGCTATAATTAAAAGCTCTTATCCCATAACACCAAGATTCCAATATATGAAACACTGGTAAGACTAACTGTCCTATATGGCCCTGAAACCTGGAGTACAACTAACAGAGACAAAGCCTTATGACAAACTTATCACAACAGTATTAGAGCAAATCTTTGGACACATCAAAGATGCAAACAGTAGAGAAGAAAGAGCAAGAAGCTACAACAAAATTTTAAAAAATCACCAATAATTACTAGCATCATGAAGGTAAACAGATATTATACTGACAGAGCTACAGACACTTGGAGTCACCAACTAGAAACAAGAAGGCCAATCAGAGACAAGCTGGAGGTAGGGTGATATCTGTAGCAATGAACCTCAATGTCTCGGAATGCCGAAGATGAAAAAGAAGAAGTAGAAGAAGGAGGAGCAGAAGAAGAAGAAGAAGAAGAAGCAGCAGTAGAAGAAGAAGAAGAAGAAGAAGAAGAAGAAGAAGAAGAAGAAGAAGAAGAAGAAGAAGAAGAAGAAGAAGAAGAAGAAAAATGACTCTAAATGGTCCACAACCGTTGCCAAGATAAACTGAAACACAACAACATAATAAACCATACACTAGGTTCAGCCATAGGACATTCTTTAAAAATCTACGTAAAAATTAACGCCACATGAATGGTTACTTGCCACTTTAATCTGTGGTATGTACAAATCATCTGCCTGGTGGCTGGGTGATAACTGGTAATCTTCTCCCAGGGAACGGACTTCAGCCTTAATTTCTCCCAGTGAGCTTAGCTTGGAAGTTAATCTGAGAGAATATTTGTTACAATATTAGACAATCAACCTGACAATGGAGGGGAGCAAAAACAAATCACTCATTTCTGCCCTGTGTAAGTCTGGAGCCCCATTGTTTGGGGAGGGAATGTGGTTGTGTGTGTGCATGTGTGTGTAAGGAGTCATTTTCTCCTTGACAGAACATGAGGCAAAGATTATTTAAGCCTGGAAAGACATAATGATCAGTCCTGTTTTTTTTATGTGGGAACAGTGTGTCCGACAGGGACGAGCAAGAATGAAGTGGATCGACTGGTGAGGAATGTCTGATAAAGAAATGAAAATAAGTTGCACGAAAACCTGGCCAGCAAGTTTGTCTGACATTTGTCAAGGCTGACATGTGTTTTGTGTGATCAAGTGAAACCTGGTGTGTTTTTCATTCCTTGGGAGTGGTGTGCAACATCTTCTTGTAAAAGGTATAAACGATTGTTTACAATATGACAAGTGGCCGATATCGGTCACCCTTGACTCTTTACCTTAAGGACACTGGCAGTGAAACAGATGTTGGAGGGAATAAACGTTATATCATCTGGATCAGCTGTGTTCCAAGGTTTTGTTTATTCAAGATGTTCAAGCATCCGTACTGTCTCTGTACCTAGGAAGCGTTATCGTCTGGATCAGCTGTTATCCGAGGTTTTGTTTATTCAAGATGTTCAAGCATCCGTACTGTCTCTGTACCTAGGAAGCGTTATCATCTGGATCAGCTGTTATCCGAGGTTTTGTTTATTCAAGATGTTCTAGCATCTGTACTGTCTCTGTACCTAGGAAGCGTGCAGTGATGAGAGCCAGAGAGAAGCATGCCGTAAAAGTCAACTGATATTAATCATGGCCATTTTCTTCAGTCATACTGCACCTGTCTGAGAGGCAAGGAACCAACAGTCTGCATACGAAAAAGCTAAATAAGTAAAACAGATGTGTACATAAAACTAGCATTCTGGAACAAGACTCAAGTCCAGAAGTGAAAGAATAACCAGAACTTTTCACTAGAGTCTATAGCTGGTGAACACTGAAATGCTAAAAAAAAAAAAGCTATGCTGAAAACTATGTGGAAACTGCAGAGATGTGGCTTTTCTACTGTGGTTTTTAAAACACACTAATAAAATTAAAAAGTATAACATAAATATTGCCGGCACTATTCCAAAATTAAGTAAGTGTTAAAAATACTTGTTTCAAGAAAATCATGCTTGAATTTTTGAGAACAGATAAAACTGCAGTTGCCTGACAAGTAATGCAGTATCATTCATTATATGTAATCTCACTTTATGAGCTTTGGCTATAGTCTGATCTGGGAGAGGGAAAAGGTTGGAGGGGACTGAACTGTACAATAACTCTGCACTCAACGGTCGTCAGGTGTAATGGTGACATGACTGTGTGGCACGTGCTGACATGACTGTGTGGTCCGTGCAGCAGCTGCTCACATCTTACCTGTATCATTGTGAGAAACAGTACTGAGCTAGACAACCCGGTTGCAGAACGCAGTTCATTCATTTTCTAGGCAATGGGGAAGAAATAGAAGTAGGCCTACTTGTGACCAAAATGGATCCAAGTATTAGAAACAAAGGGAAAGTTGTAGCACTGGAGGACAAATTATCAGTTATCAAAAGGTACAAAAATAACTTCTGCTCTGCTGACATTGTCAGAGCTACAGGACTTTCAGAATCAACACTAGAAAGCAACAAAAATATCCCCCCTCACCCCCACAAAACTTGTAAAAGTGTGAGGTGAAAGACAACAGCTGAAACTGCACAAGTTATCGCTCAATCATGAAAACAATTACAAAAAGATGCTGCCACAGTAGGTTAGTTGCGTATCCTTTACAGGACGTTGCAGAACCAACCCCAACAGCCCCTGGCTGTTGTGTGGTTTTTCTAGGCAAATTTACGTCCAGTAGTTTGCCATTTTTTGCTGGACGGCCGACTTTCTTAATACCACTGTCGAAACCAATGCAAGGCGCATGGCCCGCAGCTGGGATCGAACCCGTCATCCCGGCATTACGAAGTGTTCGCATCGACTTAGCCACAGAGCCGACTGCCACAGTAGACTGAATATCAAAAGAGACATGTGATTCCTATATCCACCTTGATTATTGAGGCTGAGGCAAGAAGTTTGCTTGATGAAATGAATGTTGTAGAGACAGATCCTAAAGTGCCATCTTTTACGGGAGTGCTGGCTGGTTAGAGTGTGTTAAAGGATGATGCATGGCAGGTGAGGTTGTGACACTTGCCACTGAGAAGTTCCCAGCACAGTTTTGAGCTGTAACTGAGGAGCATGGTTACACGATGCAGCAAGAGTTAAATCTTGATGAAAGTGGGTTGTTCTGGATATGTATCTCAAGCATAATATGCTTATCTTTAAAAAAAAACAAGAGGGCACTGGGATTTAAGGTCTCCAAAGCGTCCTTATAGCATGGCTGATGAAGATAACAACATGAATGTTACATTTTTGATACCTAATAAAACAGCTCTGATCCAGTCACTGGATCAGGTTGTTATTGCAACTTTCAAGAGCCATTATCCGCACACACAAATTTTCCAATTTGTTAATGTTGCTGAGCGGCTGGCAGAACGGTTAGAACACTGGGCTCTCACATGGGAGACCCGGGTTCCAATCTTGGAGATTTTTTCTGTCGGGGGGGCAAAAAAAAATCCTCACCTGCACAGTCATGGCGACAGTACTAGCCATGCGGCCGTAAATCCTCAGCAGGCTCAAAGACTCCCCTGACTACACCGCAAAAGTGGTATAATAAAGGCAGTAACTGGCAGTTAATGTTGCTGATGGCAAGCATCAATTTTTTGTGAAAGCATTTTGGAAGAACAACATAAAAAAATGATACTGACTGCACTGCTTATGCATGGGCAGACATTACACAGTCTTGTATCAAAGGAGTCTGGAAGAAGACATGGACTGAATTTTTTTTCCCCAGCGACTTCAAACTTAAAAACGATCTTTCAAGTTCAAGACATGTTGTTATTACTGGCATGACCAGATCTGTTGGATTTGAGGATGCAGACAGGCCAATGTGGATGGACTGCTCCAATCATATTTATTAGAGCTTACCAATGAAGCTCTTGAAATGGAAAAGAACAAGGAAAATTTTAACTAGGAAAATTTTGAACCTATCAAATACCTTACTATAGCACAACCGATTTAAATCTTTCAGCAGAATGATCATTGAGGAGAATGATCCAATCACCAACAGAGGTGCCAAAGTTTCCTCAAAAATTCAGATTTCTTTGCCCTGCTGTAAGGAGATGCATACGGAGGTATCCAGTCGAGAATGAAGAAAGGGAAACACCTTCCACAACAACACTGACAGCCCTGATGCCATGTAGCCTGCACTGTAATACTCAAACTGATGATGACTAAGAAGTAGAGACAGCATCCACCTTAGTCGACTGATGAAGTCAACAGGGCATGGCGCTCTAAACATACAGCCACCAAAGAGTGGCCACTTGCAAGAAAAAGGAGAGACTCACAGAGAAGGAGAAAGATAGCACAGGATAGACATACGTCTAAACCTGACTACAGTAGCGGTCTCCTTGTAGGGACCGATATCATAAGCATCCTGAACCTTTCAGCAAAAATGTCATCAAGGCCTGGGGTGAGATATGGTGACAAAATAAAGACAGTTTGCAACTTATACAATGACATCATTAGGAAGGAATCAGCTGGCTATACAGATGGATCAGTGATTTGTGGGGTGCGGTCTGAGTTGGTATACACTGTGCAGGTGAATGGAAATACAGTAAAAGAAGAAAGTCTGGCATTCAGTTCAACTATTTCTAGCATGACGATGTCATGTGACCATCAACCTGCATGGCTAGCAAAGCAGAAAGCAACTCATGCACTGAGAGTGACAGACTCAATGAGCATGCTTAAAAAGTCTAAACTGGCAAACCCCGACTAGAATGGGTTGGCAGTATCCAGAAGTCAAGCCTCAAGAAACTATCTTGGCAATACACATCTGGACACACCACAGTGAAAGTACATGAAGGAGTCGACAGACTGGCCATGTCAGTAGTGGTTGGTACAGGAAGAAGTACAGGCAGGGCAGACATACTGAATGTGTTACGCTCTAGAGACTTTGCAACAAAGGAGTCAGAAACAATGAACCGACTGTTGGGAATGGGTTTGAAATGAGGAAAAGCTTGCAGAAACCAGCTGTGGAGCAAAGAAAGAAGATAAGCCAATCATTTCTACTGGGTACAGCGAGCAAGAAGACATTGAGATGGCTGCTGCATCCGAGGACGGTGCAGGAATGGGTACGGACTGATGTGCTAGGGTGTTGATACAGAGAACAAGCAACAGGCAAACCAGTAAGGAACTGTACAGACAGAGAAAGAATGCTGCCCGTCAGATCAGTCTAGATCATTTTCTAATAAAAGCTGGAAATCTTCCATCACAGAGAGCAAGAAAGTGATCCTGACTTGCCAGAATGAGTTCATGTGAATGATGCATTCCAGCACTTAATGTGTGTACCATACATATGTGTGTCACTTTACAGTTAACATTAACAAAGTATTACAGTAAAAGCTTGTTAACACGAATTCCAAGGGAACAAAAATAAAAAATATTTGTGCTAACCAGACTAATGGCAACAATACATCCCCCTGCTGTAACTAAAATTATTTTCATGTTAACAGTGTTCTTCTTAAGCAAGTGCGTGTTAACAAAGGTTTTACTGTATTTCATTGCAAAGATTGAAATCTCTTTTCTCCCTTTCAAACTACACCTATCCGTATGTAATAAATTCATTTTATATGTTTTCTTGTAACACCATTATTTAATCGTGTACAGTGAGGGATATCAGTACTTCAGTATGACCTATTTAAAGCAGAAATTCACATTTGTGCTTTTAGCATATTGCAAAATGATGAATAACAGCCCTGAAAATACACATAGATGAAAAATCGCCAAACTGCATTTAGCCGACTTTGATGTAGTCAAACAAATATTATAATGAAAGCAGTAAACTCACAAAGAGAAAACCAAACACAGAAATACCATACCCAATGGGTCTTTTTTATAGAATGAGCAATGTTAAGCAATTCAGAAATAATGACAAGAGCAAGAACCTACTCTAGACAAACCCATTCAGGATAATTCAATTTATGACAAACAATCCATTCAAACAAACTTCTTCAGGACAAATCCATTTTAGACAAACCCATTCAAGACAAAACCCATTTAGGAAAAACCCATTCGACACAAACCCACTCAGGGCAAACATACATGTACTCAGTCTCCATCAGCAGATATCAAAGCAATAAGCCATTAAGGTTCAGAGGTACTGTGAATATCTGTGCCAAAAGTCTACTTTTATTTCAGCTACTGCCCAGTTTGGTCAAAAAACAAACAGCTTGTATTTGGATGATGTGTTTTTGTAAAACAAGTCACCATTTACTGACTGCAGAATCTCCCCTTGATCCGCAGAACGACTGGTATTACGTCAGATACATCTAGATAATACATTAGTTATTTAATTTTAATCAATTTTTCTGAAGTCCAATGTGTTAGCTGCTAAATGCAGTAGATGTTTAAAATTAACAAAACAAAAAACAACAGTGACATCCTTTCTAAAGACCCTTCAACGTGGGAACTGAATTTCACAATAAAGTCATTCATTGTAAAAAAAAAAAAGAATCACATAACTTACTTGGCAATTTCTTTATCACGAATCTGTAACTGCTCTAGCAGTTCTTTGTTGTACATCTGAATCTGATTGACATCAAAAGCTGACTGCAGCCCATTTCTATAGTTTCCAGATATTCTGCTGTCTGACAAGTGTGATGCTTTGCCTGGGGATGTCTTTTGTGATGAACCAATTTTTGAAATATAATGCTGAAACTCTGCATCAAAATCAAGTAACAGTTCATCATCTAAACCAGACTGTATGTTTGAAGTCTGCTCTTTTCTTCCCTGGCTGAACTTCGTCGTCAAAGCACACAAACCAGCTTTAGCAGGAGATGCTTTCTGAGAAGAAGCTGGGGAGGAACCTTCAGAACTAGACTCAAAAACATGTCTCTGGCTACTTTTGAAGTCCTCAAGATGAAATGCAGCATTGTATGATAACACACCTTGAGAAGAATTGGATGAATCAGAAGAATAGTCCAGTGAGCTGTGGTCAAAAATGTGGGTATGGCTGTTGCCTTTATCATAAGGAGATGGTGGATCACTTTGCAGATGCCCATTTTGTTGACTGTGTTGACTTTCTGTCTGGGTCAAATGAGTGTAGTTTGGACAATCACCAGAAGTAATGTTATGCTGAAGGATAATGTCTGTAGGCTTATTATGTAAACAGCTTTCCCCAAGAGAGGAATTAGAGTTTGCTTGCAAATTTTGTGATCTAGCAGTCTGGCTATGTTCAGTATGTGTTAATACAGACAAATTCTGGTGCTCACCAACAGAAGTATGTTCAATGTTAGCGCTCACCCAAGCTTTCACAGGGGAAGATAATCCTACACAGCCATCTCTAGTTACAACAGACTCTTCCAAAACAAATTCTTGAGCAGTATTATGAATGCTTTCTGCTGTTACTTCTGGAAAACCTAAGGAGTTATCTGGCAAGACAAGGCTGGTTTTCTCATCTGCTACAAACTCATCTGTTTCAGTCAAAGTGCTATTGGGAATGACTTTATCAGTAATGGACTGTTCACTACACTCTAGGTTCTGTGTATCAGAGGCAACATTTTCATGCCTGTCCATAACACTATTCATGGCACATGGAATGCTTTCAGTATTTGCAGCAGACAGATCTGCCTCTACCACCTGAAATAATTCATCAGGGTTTATTGAAGATGAGTTCTGCTGTGGGATTTCAACTAAGGCACCCTGGCCAGTACAGAAATCCAACCTGTCCTTTGGGCTTACATTTCTATCTACACCTTTAGATAAAGTATCCATTGTTTCAGAAAGTTGAGCACCATCATTGTCAGTAAATGTATTTTCAGGATTATTTACAAAACTCTCTGTGGATATGTCTTTCAAATCTGACTCACTGTCAGATTCTTGTGACTTTGAAATTTCATTTTCAGTCTGCAAAGCATTGCTCTGATTCTGACTGGGTACAGGATCATGAAATAATTTTGTCTCAACAGCCTTCCTCATCTTACATCTCAAATCACTGTCACAGTCAGCTATTAATGTGTTTTCACATTCTTTTAAGAAGTGTTCATTTGCATCTGTCTGAGCCACAGTAATGTAGTTTTGCTCTGGGTTTTCCACATTTGAGCCTTCTGAATCTGACACAACACTGTTTTCTTGCTCTGGGATTCTCTCTTTTGAGCCTCCTGAATCTGAAACAACACTGTTTTCTTGCTCTGGGCTTCTCTCTTTTGAGTCTCCTGAATCTAACATAACACTGTTTTCTTGCTCTGGGATTCCCTCTTTTGAGCCTCCCGAATTTGACACAACACTGTTTTCTTGCTCTGGGATTCCCTCTTTTGAGCCTCCCGAATTTGACACAACACTGTTTTCTTGCTCTAGGGTTTCCTCTTTTGAGTCTCCTGAATCTAACATAACACTGTTTTCTTGCTCTAGGGTTTCCTCTTTTGAGTCTCCTGAATCTAACACAACACTGTTTTCTTGCTCTGGGATTCCCTCTTTTGAGCCTCCCGAATTTGACACAACACTGTTTTCTTGCTCTAGGGTTTCCTCTTTTGAGTCTCCTGAATCTAACATAATACTGTTTTCTTGATCTGTGATTCCCTCTTTTGAGCCTCCTAAATTTGACGCAACATTGTTTTCTTGTTCTGCGTTTCCCTCTCTTGACCCACCTAAATCTGATACAACAATGTTTTCTGTGTTCCAGTCAACTGTATTCACTGTAGAGGATTCTATATTGACAGCATTTTCTGAAAGTCCACCCACATTACCATCTTCATTATTTGGTATATTCTGAGAATCATTACTGGCAGTCACCTGTACCATCCCAAGGTCTTCCTCTGCATTTTCTTCTTCTGATGCTTCTCCATCTAACTGATACCTTTGTGGCAAACCCGAGTCCTCTTCTGGATCTGGATTCTCCTCCATTTCAGCACTACCATTGTCCTCGTCTACAAAACTCATTGTTTAGCTGGAATATAAAAGAAAAAAATGATTATAATTATTTTTTATTAGTATATAGTTAAAAAAAAAAACACAGACATTTGAGGCATATAGACATATGTTATCACAAATAACTTCACCGTACACTGGCCATTCTCATGAGTGCTCAGCAGCCCACCCCCTCCCCCCAACCCACCCTCCGGTACCTCCATTTATGGTTCCCATGGAAGTATTTTACAATGTCTCCAATCCTGAACTCAAAGACAGCACTGAGATGTTTCACCAGGCCTCACTCCAAGATCGTGCAACTGTGTTAGCATCAGATACTGGTTATTACTGGCCAGTATTGTCCATACATAGCGTTGATCATGTTTGCTCATAGACATAATTTCCCTCTGTGTTCTCATGGCCAATACAGGAAGTTTAAAAAAAAATAAAGTAACCTGTCATTCATGTCATAACAGGCAATAAGAAGGACTGACGTAAGACTGGATACTTCATTCCGTTAAAAAAAAACTTTAGCTGTAAAAGCCAACAAATCCTGTACGTTTCCAAAAGTTAGGCACGAGCTGGTTAAAAAACTTATGCTACATTATGAGAAGAAAGGCAAACAAAAATGAGAAGAGAAAATGACATAATACTCAAAGCTGCCTGTATGTACAGAATGACTGTCTTTACCCACAAATAACCGCAGGTTACCCCTGGCTGGTGTTGCTATTATGGATGCCCTAATTAACTTCTCACAATATCAAACAGGGTATCTAGGATCTGCCATGTTGGTCTGCTTTCCACATTAAGTTAAGCCAGTCTCAGGATGATATGATAAACCTTAGGCAGCAGCATGGAAGAGACATACTGATCGATTGATACAGAATGACAGAAAAGCTTAGAGTCATGGCACCCATCTCTAGTTTTAAAATAAAGCTAGTCTGATGTGACCAGTATTTGATACGCTGATGAATCAATGCTAGTAACTTGTCTCAACACAAACAATGACCAGGAAGACCAACCGAGGCCAGGAAAATACAGCTGAATATTCTGACCAGTGTTTATAAACTAGCCTAACACTCGTTGCCAGGTCAGTGACCATTTGTTAGAATCCTTTTTAGGTGGTTGCAGATTTTCTTCTCTAGGCTGAGGGAGGCCAACAGAAAAGAAGCTGACACTATGGCATGCAGGATCATCTGTGTCAGAGTTGATTGAAAGTACACGAAACAGAAGGTTGTGGATAGACATGAATACCAACGCCTCACAGCATGGAATTTAAGAAGCCTGGCTCCCGGATTGGTCTAGTCTCAAGAGGATATGTTAGCATGAAATTACATACAGCATTCAAGGAAAGGCGGTCAAACACTGTTAATTAAACTAGGTCTGCATGAAACAGAAATAGGGAATTTCCAAGCCCCCTCCACCACTCACCTTCACACGATGCAAATGAATATAAATTTATCTGAAAACACTTTCTTACTATGGACAGTTTAATTAAACTAGTCGGCTCTGTGGCTAAGTCAATGCAAACGCTTTGTAATGCCGGGATGCCAGGTTCGATCCCAGCTGCGGGCCATGCGCCTTGCGTTGGTTTTGACAGTGGTATCAAGAAAGCCGACCGTCCAGAAAGTAATGGCAAACTACTGGACGTAAATTTGCCTAGAAAAACCACACAACAGCCAGGGGCTGTTGGGGTTGGTTCTGCAACATCTTGTAAAGGAAATGCAACTAACCTTAATTAAACTATAAAAGTCAAGTCATGTAATCTTCTTCTTCTTCTTCATGTTCAGCAGCTGTAACTCCGGCAGAAAGTTCTGGCTGTTCGTCCACATTTGGACTCTAGTCCTGTTCCAGTAACTAAATGTTGCGTGCACATCTGTTTCACAGGTCTGACTCATTTGCATGTAGACTGCTGGTTCCTTTCTCTCAGTCAGATGCACTCTGACTTCGAAGGACGCTCCCAATTAGTCGACTCTTATGACATGCTTTAGGGTATGCAGTGGGTCTGTTCTTGTTTTCCCCACAATGGGGCCCTGGAACCCACATAGGGAGACAAATCATGCAAAGCTTTAAAACTATACTGGCCTTAAAACATCGCCACATAATGCACCGAATGACAAACATAAACTGGCCTGACCATATTATGCTGTATTAATAAATATAAGCTACAAATGTCAATTTAATATAATAGAATTCGAGCATCAAATGTCACATAACAGAAATAAAATATATTGGTCTAAAAAAGACCATACAACACATAGAATGGTGAATGTATTTTAGTCTGACAGCACACATTCACACTGAAAAACATCCAATGAAGACAAACTAATCAGATATTACTGTAATGTAATGATTGAACTATTCAAGCATCACAACCATTCATGATTGGGATAGTTCATTTTTAGGGAAAAGTATGTAAGCATCATCGAAGCAATGAAAGCATCACCGCCAAACAATGGACAGCACAGCTAATTTTGAACTCACACTACAGCTGACAGAGCAATGAAGATGAACTTAATAGATACCACTATAATTTATCTGAACGTAACTACTCAAGCATCATCATCACCATCAGTATAGCTAACATATAGGATAAACTATTGAAGCTTTTCTGCAGAAGGTAGGCACACAATCATGGACGAGTCCTCAGGATAACCCAATAAACACTACCTGACAGCCATGGAAACCTCATTGCCCAGAACCTAACCTGACATGGATAGTTAAAAAAAAACGATTTCGGGCATGAGAAATGTGGCACTGATACACATTCAAAGTTCAGAAAGACACGAATAAAAAGGCTTCAAATATAACAGAAGCTCCACCAGAAGCAGGGTTGAACATAGTACATTTTCCTTTCTCCACAAAATTAATCATAATAATAAGCAGTGCAGATACCTTCTTTCATACATACTACAGTCAACAGAACACTAAGATAAACTAAAGATAAGTTTCACTGCTCTAATGTAATGGGCTGAACTATTCAAGCAACACCATCAATGGACAGTATAGCTAACTTCAACGGTAACTATTTAGGCTTGTCTGCCAAGTATAAGGCAGCATAACTTATTTCTACATACTATAGTAGACAGATCAATAAACTACCCAAGTGTCACTGTAATGTAATGAGCTGAACTATTCAAGCATTATCCTCATCAGTGGACAGATTATTTAACTTTAAGGATAAACTATTTATTAAGCTTGTCTGCAACAGTGAGGAGGCGCAGATAGATCATTATGGTCTAAGAAGAATGGCGCTGCGAGGAGTTACCAGGAGATCTAACCGACGCTCAACACTCAGGGGAAGGATGAGACGGAAATACAATTAAACGGTTACTGGTACCACCGGAATTGGAACTTTTCGCTTGTTGCTGAATATGTGGACTGAGCACTTACCGAGTGTCCCGAGTGCTGTGATGTCAATTTAAAATTCAACATAAGCTTGTCTGCCAAGTAATGGACGGACAACAAGCTAACTTCTAACACACATAATAAGCAGCATTATCAAGTCATCAAAAATAGAAATGTTAAACTTGTTAGTGCTATATACTTCAATATTAACTTCACGATCTGTAACTTTTACTTTTCAGTAAGTTATATTATTTACTTCATAAATAAGTGTTTCTGACTGTATTATTTTCTGTTACTGTACCATCACACTCTACTATGTTCACTCAATATCTCTTCAAGTTAAGAATCAAACAACAAGTGAACCTAAATTTAGTACAACTGTCACACAAAGTGGCAACATCTGTGCACATCCATTATTATAATCCGTACCTAACTCACTATTACCTGCCAGCAGATGATGCTTTGTCATATTCTGTATCTATAGTCTTTGAATGTTTTGTCTGGGTATGTTAACTCTTTGGGTACCATCCCATGATTCATTTAACTCCTTTTATCTCAAGAAGTACAAGTTTAAAGTAGCTTTTGAGTATCAAGTAGTTAAAATAATAACAGCAGAGGGCAAAAGAAGCAAAACGAAAAATTCATACTAATGATTTAATGTAACTACTATTTATGATACCGTTCAGAAAGTAATGCAAACTACTTAATGTAAAATCACCTAGGAAAACCAAAAACAGCCAAAAATTTCTGGGTTTGGTTCTGCAATGCTTTTACTTGTCTTTCAAAGGACACACAACTAACTTTATTTTAACTGTACTTGATAGAAGAGAGTCAGAAATATGCATTCTTTGGACTACACAATGAAGACATGTTGAGATGCAAAGTAGTTAATATTATCTGCTTCAGTGTGAATAATTGGAATGGATCAAGAATAAAGGGGGGACAAATTGTCTATGGCTGCATAAAGGATGTTTCTTCTTTACTTTTGTTATTGCTCCAGGAGAGATGTAAGGTTATGTTTTTTTTATTTTTCTGGCCACTTCAATTAGAAACACATCATATCGTCATAGAGTTTCTCTTTCCATGTAGTGGTAAACATCATGCTCTACATTCCTCGCTTCACTTGGTGTATGCCTTGTATCGTATAACGTCACAATGCATTCCCTTTAGTCGCCAAAGCATTTCTTTGCTGTCTTTGTTATGTAATTTAGCAGTGATTCTGTTCTGAATTTTTTCTTTTATGACTTCATTCTTGTGTGGTCTCGAGGCATGGTGTCCGCCTCAAGTGCTAGAGGTTCCGGGTTCAATCCTCGGTAAGGGCTGGGTAAAAAAAAAACCTTGGCAGTTGGAAATTGAAAAGAGTAGCCTAGCGGTGTCCCAGGCAAAATTTGGAGCTAAAAATCTACCCAAAGTATTTCAGGATCATCGTTGGTGCTACAGAGCCTGTGCACTGTGCTGAGCTTCTTTGGACTCAGACTTGAGTGAGTAGAACGGAGCACTTATGGGTTACTAACTGTGTGCATGATGTTGATCCGTTGTTCAAATTTTAAATCTTGATTATCTCTTCCTGTCACTCCTGCAGCCTTTCTTGAACATCTCATTTCCATGGTTACTATAAAAAGAGTTCATGCTGCAAGGCATGGAGCTGTCTGCACTGAATATAATCACATTATAGTCATGTGATA